TAATTAATAAAGGAAAAGCCTTTTTATTTCAATTAACATTTGGGGAGGTAATAAAGGGGTTAACGAAAGGGCCTTGAAAAAAAAAGTTTATTTTGGGGGTTTTTATGTTTAAACATTAAAAGCCCCATAAGTTTTTTAAAATTTTAAAAGGGTTTTCCCAAACAAGGTAGTTATTTTCATAATTTTCATACAGTTACAGAATTGCTGTGCTTATTTCAATTTTTACTCTATTGGGTTGACACTAATTTAAAAGGGACAAAAACTCATTTTTTCTCTTACAAAAGATACATAAAAAAAACCCCAACTAAAAATTTTGGGGGAAGTTTTGTGTTTTTAAAAAAAATGTTTGTTTTGGGGTTTAAAATTTTGGTTTTTTTTAGTAGATTCTACTTGTTTTTTCCCAATAAACCCCCCTTTTTTACCCTAAAAATAAACTGAGGGCCCCCCTAAAGTCGTTTCCCAAAAAAACCCATAAAAAAATTTTTAAATTCCCAAAAAATTTAAACCTTCCATTTTCCACCCGCAAATTGAGAAATTTTTGTTATTTACAAATTAATAAAAAAACATTTAAAAAATTTTTTCCACAAAATTCCAGTTTTAAAAACCCCCCCCCGGGCTACACAAAATTAAACTTACTTTAAAAGACAAACTTAATTTTCAAAAAATGATGCCCTTTTTAAAAACTTTTGGGGAGGTTTTTGATTAGTTTATTAGTTACCCTTTTTCTTAAAAAGAAAATTCCCAAAAAGAGAGATATTTGGTTTTTTTGCCAAAAAAACATTCATTTTTATAAAAAAATCAGCTTTTTCAAAAAATATTTGGGTTTTTTTTCTTATTTTCCCCCATCTTTCCCCAAAACCCCCCTCCCCCCCCCAAATAAAATCTTACTTCTGGAACCATAAACCTTTAATTTTGTTTGAGGTCTTCATGTAGCAGGACAATTGTAAAATTAAAGCTTTACACTTTGGAAGGAATTATATTTAAAGCAAATAAGCAGATATTCATACAAAAAAAAGGAAATGTAAATCACCATTATAACCAGGATAAAAGTATAATTACATTGATCCACAAATGTGAAATGACTTTTGTTTTTGTATAAAGAATGACTTAGTGCCAAAAGGCTTATAGTTAAGAAGTAATTACAATATAATTCAATTAATTTTATTTCTATATAGAACAGGAAAGAAGTAAATAATTGACATTTGGTTCTGTTTATATTCCCAAGTGACAGGACATACCAGTAAAAAATCAAATATTTATATGTTGGATTAGTATAATTATATCAATATATTGATTATATATTTCAAATTTAAATAATTTAGATATATTTCGTATATTTGTTACAGGTGACTAGACTTAATTTTTATAACTTTATAGCTGTTGAAAAGCAAAGGATTTGAAAAAAACATATATAATGTATGAAGCAAAGCTTCTATAATTACATGTATATTCTATTTTTAGAACAGGGTTTGTTTACATGTTGCAGCAAAGCATTAATTAATAATGATAAATATTTAAGATAATATAAATATATTTATAGTATAAAACATCTATACATATCAAACTGAGCATGCAAATTTTATAATACTGACTAAATATATCTGTTATGGGTGTGAAAATTAAATAAAAAATGTATATCAAGAGGGATAACTCTTTCCAGATAAAAATATCAAGGGAGACTATTTCTTCAAAAGACATTAATTTTATTAGCATATCATAAATATGTGTATACATTACTATTACAGTAATTAGATAAGGTTCTCCCCTCTTAATTTTTTTCATTGAATTTAGATTTACACTATAGTGTATCCAAAATCGGCTAAAATATTAAATAGTCAAAAAAAGGTAAAAAATAATAAAATGATCTATACTTATATAAATGAATAAACGAGCAAACACAAAAACCTCTACCCTACAGTATAAATATTTAATCTCAAGCACTTAATTAAAAGACCTACTGCTGAATATAAAACTTAAGAATACCTATTGCAACCTTTATAGAAAAATCTGTGTAAAATACAAGAAATGATTTAAAAAAGTGAATAAAAAATGATTAATTATCTATTCTAAAAATCTATTCTAATTTGTTAACAGCAAAACTTACAAAAAATGATAAATTTAAGTTTTTATGCATATCTTCCAATCTTCACAATTATAAATGTTTTCTTTATACATTTTATATTTTGCAGTCTTTATAATTATCCATTAATTTCAAAATTTTTTTCCCCTTTTTTATAAATCTTCCCTTCCAAAATGGGGTGTTTTTTATTTGAACCAAATTTTAAAATTTCCCCCTAAACTGACCCACTGAGCAAAAAATAATGATTTAATATCCATTCCTTTTTTTGAGGTTTTTAAGGTTTTTTTACCCCCCACGGGAAAAATTACCCTTTTTGGGCAAAACAAAAACCCATTTCTTTTAATTTGGTTTAACAAATTTTAAAAAATACACATTTAGTAAATTTTTAATGTTTAAACCATACACAGTTCCCGTATGGAATAGGGTAGCACCTTTTACCCCCATTTTAAATTTAAACTCACAAGTTTTCTTACTTCATTGTAAATGACCCCAATTTCCCAAAACAAAAACAGAAATTGAGAATACACATGAAGTTTTATTAAATTAATCAACTATATTTAGGAATCCTACCAATATGTCAATCTTCTTTGTCAATAAAGTTTCTCATTTTACCAGAAACAATTTTGTAAAACAAAGAATAAGTACACAAACAAAATCTAATTCAAGTCTTAAATTCAAGCATCTAATTAGTTGATTTCAAATATGGAATTTGAATCTGACCAATAAGCTGTAAGGCTAGGCTAAGCCTATCAAAGTACAAGGTTTCTTATTGGTTCATTTCAAATTTGAATCTGACCAATAAAATGCATTCTTAAAACAGCTCATAGAACATTGAATATCTAAACTCTAAGCCAGAGATTTTCCCTTTAAAATTTGGTCCTTCGAAATTAAAACATATCACAGATATTTTATATAAACAAACATAACAAATTATATATCTATCACACAATGTATATATAGAAACAAATATTTATATCTACATAAAGAAACACAATGACTTTGGCCTAAATCTATACATTATACAATTATATATAAAAAAAATTAAACACATAGACATGAACACTCTTCATGCTTTAACAAGAATTAAATATTCTAATTAAGTCAATATACTTTAAAGCTTCCAGTAAAAGAAATTTAGTAATAGAAGTAATAAAAACAGACTTTTTAAAAAAAAATTAGTCATAAAGCCACCACATATTGAGCTATTTAAAGAAATAAATAAATCAACTTTATAAAAATAATTTTTACCATAATTTCATAAAACATTAAAAAAAAAATTACCATAATTTCATAAAACATTAAATAAATTTTCATTTAAACCTTAAAAATTGTTTGATTCCACTTTTTCAAAAGGTTTTTCATTGTGATAATCATTCTAAAGTGTTTTTTTTTTCAGAAAAAAGATATTACAGATGACCACATATTCATGACATGCCATCATAAAAAGTGAACTAGAAATTTAATATATACATGAATCATTCATGCCATGCTTCTCATGCAGGTAAGGTTTGAACCAGTTGACTGTGAAACAATACAATGTTTTTAATGCCAGTACTTTCAATAGTGAGGTATTACCTCAAGACTTCCCACTTTATGTTGTGACGATTTACTTTTTTCTGAATTGTGGGTACTATGAGAATCTTTTGATCTTGCCGATTTATCTGACGCACTTGACGATGATGAAGAAACCGATTCTTTTGACCTTGAAAGTTCTTTCGACCTTCCCGAGAGACCCGATACATCACTGGCTTTATCATCGTACACAGTGAGGTCATCATCGTCATCCCCGCCAGCAGCAGCCTTGCGTAAATCTTTGGACTGTTGGAGGTATTTTTCTCCGCGAGCTATTTCTTCCTCAAGTAGAATTATATCATGCTCACTACAGGGCCAATTTGCCTGCTGTAGAGCTTTCATAAACCAGCTGCGGTTGTTTATGAAAGAAACAGGGCCTTCAATGTCACCAAACCTAGAAAAAAAAACATATCATAATACAAAACTTTAATCTTTGCAAGTCTTTGTATAAATTAATTTATCTTAGCTTAATCAAAAATAGAAAATTCATTACTGTTCAAAATCTAAATCAAAATTTAAAGATTAAAATCAAAATTTTAGAAAACTGCCCATTTCACATCTCAATGGGAGATAAATCTGACTAGAACTATCACTAAATGTGATTAATACCCCCACAAGACTGCTTAGGAAATGAGGATGTTACTAGTAACAGAATATCTTGTAAAAGAATTGAAATATAGAGTTATGGTTGTGGGCAATTAAAGATAGTTGTGGTTCTTGTATATTGCATTTCCTTTCAATGTGTTGGCCATTTGATGAAGTTTTATTGAATTACTCTGTAATAAGTCCAGAAAGACAAAGAAAAGGAACAAAAGGCAATAACTCTATAAATACTGAAGATGGAGTTATAGTTCTTGTGCACTGCACTTCCTCTTTTGTGCTTGACCATTGTATGAAGTTGTTTTGAATTTCAAACCAGTACGTTTTAAGTTATGCTCTAGACAAGGAAAAGTATCAAAGGGCAGTAACTCTGTATTTTGTCAAAATGGAGTTATGGCTCTTATGCACTGCACTTCCTTTTAATGTCCTTGACAACTGTATGAAGTTGTATTGAATTCCAAACAGTAGTTTTCAAGTTATGCTCTGGACAAGGAAAAGTAACAAAGGGCAATAACTCTGTAATTTGTCAAGATGGAGTTATGGTTCTTGTGCACTGCACTTCCTCTCAATGTGCTTGACCATTGTATGTAGTTATATTGAATTCCAACCATTAGTCTTCAAGTTATGGTCCGGACAAAAGAAAGCAATGGAAAAGTAACAAAGGGCAATAACTCTGTAATTACTTTAGATAGAGTTATGGTTCTTGTGCACTGCACTTCCCCTTATTGTGTTTGACAATTGTATGAAGTTGTTTTGAATTCAAACCAGTAGTGTTCAAGTTATGCCCCGGACAAGGAAAAGTAACAAAGGGCAGTAACTCTGTAATTAGTCAAGATAGAGTTATGGTTCTTGTGCACTGCACTTCCTCTCAATGTGCTTGACCATTGTATGTAGTTATATTGAATTCCAACCATTAGTCTTCAAGTTATGGTCCGGACAAAAGAAAGCAATGGAAAAGTAACAAAGGGCAATAACTCTGTAATTACTTTAGATAGAGTTATGGTTCTTGTGCACTGCACTTCCCCTTATTGTGTTTGACAATTGTATGAAGTTGTTTTGAATTCCAACCAGTAGTTTTCAAGTTATGCCCCGGACAAGGAAAAGTAACAAAGGGCAATAACTCTGTAATTAGTCAAGATAGAGTTATGATTCTTGTGCACTGCACTTCCTCTCAATGTGCTTGACCATTGTATGTAGTTATATTGAATTCCAACCATTAGTCTTCAAGTTATGGTCCGGACAAGGAAAATGCATCGGACGTCAGGACCGACCGACCGCCCGACCGACCAACCGACCACCGGGTGACTCCTATATACCCCCCAAACTTCGTTTTTGGGGGTATAAAAATATTGGTGCTAGAGTTATGAACCTTGTCACATAAGATGTGGTTGGTAATAAGGAACATATTTTGAAGTTTGAAGTTGATACTTTAAGAAATGACAAAGCTATAGTGAAAAATATTTTACTGCACCAAAACTTTAATCTGGACGCGGACGCCGACGCCAGGGCGAGTAGGACAGCTCTCCATATACTTCGTATAGTTGAGCTAAAAATGACTGTCTTACATTAATTGTTAAATAAATTTCAACATTTTAAAGAGAATGGATTGCAATAACAGAAGTTAAATGCATTATGCATGCTTACTCTTCATCCCTTATATCTCTTGGAATGGCGTCCCATACCAGTGCATCCAGTCGCCTGCAAGAATAGATTTAAAAGAGATATATATTTGGATGGTTATATTTGCATCAGACTGCTGAACCCTATGAATTTATGTTTTTGTTTGCATATACATATAAATACTTGAATAAACAGTTATCACATAAACCGCGGCGCGGGAGTGTTATAAAGCCATTTAATAAAAACGATATTACACTAGTGTAATAACACTTTGACGTGACGTCATTTGCGCTATATGGAAACATAGCGTTAAAGCGCGCTAATGGTAGCGTTCCACTATGGGCGCGTCATTGAAAAGTTACTCATTTTTACAGTTTACTGTTCTTATATTACATATGTGATAAAAAGAATATTATATTTGTGTAGATTCAATACTAAATTTATTGAACTCGTTGAATAAAACAATATTTTACTCGCCAGAGGCTCGCATAATATGATTTTATTCAACTCGTTCAATAAATTAAGTATTAAACTACACTCATTCAATATCCTCTATATATGTACATTATTGTTTGGACAGAAATTTTAACAGAAGAATGATAGAAATTTAAAAAAAAAAGAACAGATTTTTTTTTGGTAGGGAGCAACCAATACTTAGCAATTAGGGTAGTTTCTTGCTCAAGGAAACAATGGTATAATTTTCACAATAAGCCTGCTGGCAGCAAAAATTTCTTCTCATGCCACCAGTGCTGACAAAGACCAGTCTGCACATTAGTGCATTCTGTTCATGGCTTGCACTGATCACTATTCAGTCAGTACTTTTTTCAATTTTCCCTAAAAATAATCAATTGCTGCTTAGATAGAAAGATGGAAAAGTCCATTTAAGATATTTTGGGTTGTAAAAATTGAAATGAAAAATAATATTATTACCTGTTAAATAGTCCCAAAACTCTCTCTAGTTTCTCCTCATATGCCTTCAAATTTACACCATTTGGATTGATCAGTTTTATTGGTTTTCGAGACTTGTTAGACACATGTGCTATTGGTAACACCTGAAAGTAATGGTAAAGTAGAAAGATTCAAAAAGTTTGTTTATAAATATACAGTGCATCACACAAACTGACAGTAAATTAACTACCATTACTTACAGTAACTACAATTACCAGAGTATTTCAGAATTCTGAACCCTGTGCAAAAGTAACTGAACAAGTAGTACTTAAATTATTAAATGATAAGTAAACACTATTTTAATATCCTCTCCCTATTCAAATAATTAAGCAGTCAATCTAAATTGATCTAAGATGAGCTTATACAAAAATATAATCATTTATCTTCTAATAATTATTAAACATATTTTAGACAGCGGCCACAATTATTCAATAACAAAATTTAACAAATGTTTACACTTCTGCATCTTAACTTATGTATTTGTTTCATTTTGAAAAGGTAAAGGTGACAAACCTCATCAAAAACTTTAGCCAGTACATGTTTATCTAATATAGGAACATATTTAGATCTATGTGGTATCATGGTGGGTGCCAGGGCATCCAGTAACGTTAGTTTCCTAGCAACAAGACCATTCCTCTGTAACCACTGCTTGCTTGACATACTGCGTATTCTGAAATCAATTCGATAATAAAATTATTATCAATTTTTTTTAAAAAATCCGTTTTAATCAGTTTTGTTAAAATATTTTTTGCTTTTTTTTAAAAAACCATTTTTTTTGAAACTTTAAATTTTTGGTGTTGGAAATCTGTAAAAAAATAAAAAAAGAAACACTTTATTTTTACTATAAAAAGTACTTCCAAATTTTTTTCACATATTCTTTAGATTTTTTTCTTTTTGGGGGCTTTGCATTGAAATAAAATAAAGTTTTTCCCACTAAAAAGAAAATTTTTTAGTAAAAAGATTTTTGCATTGTTTTTTTGATTCATAAAAACGAAATTTTTTTTGTTATTTTAAAAACAAAAAAAATTTAAAGTGCCATTTATTTTGATTAAATTTCTTGCTTTTGCGTGGTCTGTTTATCTTTTTTTGAAAAAGTGAAATTTAAATAAATTAAAAAAATTAATTAAAAAAAACTTAGAAAAAGAAACTTTTCTTAAAAAATTGTTTGGGGCCCCTTTTGTCGTTGTTCCGTGCTTTGGAAAAATAAAAAATAAATATGTCCTAATTCTAAATGAATTTCCCTAAAAACCAAAAAATCATGTTATTTAGAAAATTTTTTGGGAAATAATTTAAAAGCAATCATTAATCTCAAAAAAAATTAAATGGAAAAAATTTAGGGAAATGGAAATTATAAGACAAAAACCAACAAAAGTCTTTTCTACCATTTAAAAAATAAAATTTTAATGGGAAAAAATGAAAAATATTTATTTCTTAAAACTTTTGTTTTATAGCTTTTTTAAAAAAATTTTTTGGGCAATTTCTTTTAAATTCTATTGCATTTCCTTCTTTTTTAATATTTTAAATGCTTTTTAAAAAAAAATTTGGTTTAAAAAAAAAAAATGAAAAAAACTTTGAGAAAATAAAAAAGCCAGGCATTATAAATTTTGTTTCAAAAAGCCCGGAAAAACAAGGAAAACTTTTGGTTCCCGGGAAAGAACGGGGAAAAAAAATAACAATTAGTTTTTTCCCAGTAGTTACAAGTAAAAAAAAATCCACTTAGACAAACAAAAAAATGTACAAATTCTAGCAAAAAAAAATTCATTTTTATGCAATAAATTGAATTTGTAAAGTCTCTTTTTATGGGGTAATTTTGACTTTTTTAATTTATATTATTGCTGTCTTCTATAAAAACTTAATTTTTTTTTTTTGTTGTATTATGATATTATAAAATTTTTTAAAAAATTTTAAATTTTTTTTGCTGTTTTTTTTGAAATTTTTAAAACTTTTACGTATTACACATTCTTTTTGAAGTTTTCTATAAAACTCAAAATTTTTCCATCCCCTTTTTAAAAAACTTGTTTTTAACAAAGGAAATTAAAAAATAGTAAAATTTATTTAAAATTGGAAACAGCCTTAAAATCAACAGCTATATGGGTCCTTTTTTTAAATGGGTTTAAGTATTGTTTAAATTTATTATCATATATAGCGGGAAAATACTTTTAATTGTATAAACAGCAGGCTATAGATACAGCCCATAAATTTTAATAAAAAACCAATTTTTTAAATTTTTACCAACTCTTTAATTCTTAAAAAAAAAAAGTTTCTTACACCTTTTCCCAAAGAAAAAAAATAAAAAAACTCCCCAATTTTATATAATTTAAAGAAAATTATCTTTGACAATTTTTTTGTGATATTTCATTGAAAATTTAAACAATGGTAAAATTTTTTTTTACCATTTTTGATCAAACTTTTAAAAAAAGGGTTCAAAATCAAAATAAATAGTATTGGCATTTTTCAACTTTTTTCAAACAAATGAAAAAACATGATAGAGCCCCACCTTCCCCAACTATTCATTTTTGACCAAACAGGACTAGACCCCCGCGCATCCCCCGGGGTTTTTTCAGGGTCCTGCTTTCGTTACAAACCCTTTTGCAAAAGAGAAACTGATAACGAACAGCATGGATCCTGATCAGACTGCGCAGATGCGCAGGCTGGTCTGGATCCATGCTGGTCGCAAATGCACTATGTTGGTTTTGTCGTGACGCGGCTCATTATTGCTTTCCAAACAAATGAACAACATTGTATTTAACCAGGTCCAACTTAACCAACACAGACACAAGGATTAAACACAAGCACAAAAAACACTTGCGGATCACATTTTATACAACCTATATCAACGACTCGCGGAGACATGCCATAATCCTCTAGAACTGTAAAATATATTAACAAAGACTCTAAAACAAAGAAAAATAATTCTACCTCCCATCTACTAGACTATCTTTTAGCTTAATGAAATAAAATAAAAAACTAATATAAAAACTCACATACAATATACACCAGGATTTTCTATTACTAGGGATACAAGACTTAGCTTAGTTTAGCTCAAGCTTGACATTTTAATTCTTATAATTATCTATTTCCTTTATGTATCTTTTGTCTTTTTTCTTTTGCATTACATTCAATAGCTAGGCAAGCTTTCTCCCTTGCATATTACTAAATAAATCTTACAAATAAATAACAAACAAGTTCAATCCATTTTCTGGTATAAAAAAAGTTTGTGAAATTTGATTCTGCAAATAAACTGAATAAGCTCTTTTATTCAATTTAAAAGATCGGTGGTCCATTTGATCGTACAAAATTGTTTACACAATGTTTTTCATACAGTTAAGGTTTATGGTCTTACTTCCTGTTCTTTTCCTTTTCTATTCTTTGCTAATTTTGTGAGGTTTAGCATGATATATTAATGGCGGGCAGTTACCCTAAAACTGTCCTGAATTTTGTACCTGTAATAACCTATTCTTCATCAAGTAATTGTCATAGTTTCCATTTTAATTTTTTGAAACAGTAGGGAAAGGCATATTGCATTAAATATAGTCATAATAAAAATCATCACAGATAAATACATGTGAATCTCTATGAACTTAACTCTTAACTTGCTGACAGTGACTGCTTTTACCCATGTGACCAGTATAGACCAAAATTAATGGCACATCTGTATTGTTTTATTCATACTCTGCCCTGTTAGCTATTTAATCAGAAATTATTTTGAAAGTTTCCCTTAAATAGGGAACAGTTTGTCCACATTTAATGATGGACCAGACCATTGAATATATTTATCCTGGAAAGGGTGAAATCTGAGGTCTAAAGATCAAATATTCTTCCTACTGTCTAAGCTAATCAAATAAGCTCTTTATGAATATGCTATACATGTATAAATATTCTGATCATGAAAAATGTTATCTTTTATTATTCTATTCCAATCATGAAATAAAATGTTCTCCTAGCATTTCAAATATAAAATCATCCTGATATCTAGCAATCTATAAGGGTAAAGACCTCTGTATACAAAGTGGGGTGCTAATCCATGCTTCTCTAACACTGGAAAAATCAAATACAAAAATCATTTAAAAGGATACTCATAAAGATCCATAATACATTTTTAAATAGGAACTTTTTTAGAAAGATATGATGAGACTATTATCTTAACAAGGGCTATTTATAAAAGAGCTAGGTCCACTTTCCAAATTTTCCAAGTTTGAAATTCAAATTTTTTTTTTTTTTTTTTTTTAGAAATGCACCATAACTAAGAAAAAAGAAAATGGGCAGGGCTAACTACCCATTTGTTTTATATATTGATTTATACTCTTCAATATCTCAATAGTTTTGCAGAAAAAAGACTATATATAAAAATGTTCACCAACCAAATACCAACAACAAGTGGGTAATGATAAAAGCTTTGCATTGTTTTTTAAAACTTTGAAATGTTATAGATGTGTAGATATCATATTTTATAGACAGGTAATAAAAATAAAAAACTTTGAAATGATAAGAATTTAGAACTCAGTTTCCATCTTATCTTCAACATTGAAAAGAATGCACATGTAATTAATTGGATTGATTTGAAAAAGGTTAATTGCTTAAAATGACTAAAATGACTGAAAATATGTTAAAAAAAATACAATATTCAAATTTTCATAAAAATATAATTTTATTTTATTAGGTTATAACCCAATGACAAACATGAAAAGCAGAAAAAGGGAAGAATTTTTCACAAGGGAAAACAGTTTGAACAACAACAACAACATTGTGCTAACGCAGCTAACAGTGTCTACTAATAAACTACAGTATTGAAAATGGAGGGAAAATGTTTAAAAAAATAAGATTCAACATAGAAAAAAGATAACAAAGTGAAAAGAAAACATCATCTAGGATACAGGAGAGACAAGTTGTAATTGTTGACAGGATCTCACCATATTCATCATCTGATACTGACTGCAGACCCTTATAAGGGGCTACAAGTGAAATAATCATGTTTTACTTAACCCTAACAATTTCAAAATGGCTGCCATTCAACACAATATACTGGTCATTTGCTAAGTTTTAAGAAGATATGACACAAGGCAGGTCACAAGCTTTACTGATTAATCACGATCTCAGAAGTTTTGCCATATGATGTCCTAAGCTTAAAGGTACCATATCAGTAGAACCAGCTTAATATCTGTCATATTTTGCAGTTCGGATCAGAATATCCGTCCCAAGGTGACCCGACGATATTCCATTAATTTTAAATTCTTTATCTTTAATTTCAATGGAAATTTATATCATAACAACCGTAACTACTTTCTTACAACAGCCTATGAATTACAACTTCATTCATAATGGTAAAATGACGTCATCCTAAGCGTGCCATTGTGCAGCATGCGACTCATCTGGCACCCCCCATGCCAGATGAAATTTCCGGCATGGGTAAAACCCACGGAAACGCCAGTCTGATATGCAAGAAACTATCTTCTTCAAAGCAGCCACACATTAATTAAAGTATTTAATATTCCTAACTAAATCAATAAGATCCAATGAAAAAAAAAACACTAAATATTTTAACAAAACTTGTGTGGAAATAAAGCTAGGATTGTGTTGAGGAGGAAACATGTGACTTTAAGACAGAGGGTAAATAAAACACATTTATTCTGTATTCTAACAAAATAACAATATCTACAACAATGTATTAAAATGAATTACACATAAATATAACCATTTGATGGTAAAACGTTTTATATCAGTAAGTGTATAATCTGTCGACAGCAAAATGATTGAAATAGTATTTCAACCAACATTGTAATCTTTGCAGATAAAAACCTTTCACAAGACAAAAACTTACATCTGTGTAATAGGAATTTAATATTTGTCTAAATTGTGTGCTTTCTTTGTACCTGTTTCTTAAATACAAGTACCAGTTGTGAGCAATAAAAGTGAGGTCAACCTAGATAAAAAAAAAATTATAAGACAAAATACCTTGTGCAAGCTTTTTCTGTCGTGTTGCCTGCTTTTCAAACAGCTGTCTGGTCTCTGGTAAAAGCCATTCATCAGAATTGAACTTTCCTTGACTGTTCAGTGTCCTCAATAAACTTGTCCTTGTGTGACCTGTAAATGACATTTATAATCAAATATATGTTGGAATGACCTTCACCTTGGTTTGACATTAAATTGACCTTTATTCTTTAATAATTTATATGAAGGGAGTAATTTTTTTAAGTTGTCACCTATTTATTGATAAAAATATTTGGGGGAATTTTAATTCATACCTGCTGCAAGAGGCTTTGCAACTGGACCCCTGGCACTACTTGGTCGAGAACTTCTTGGCCTCCTTTTAGCAAGAGTAAACTCCCTTGTCTCAACAGAGGTTGTGACCCTTGGAGGTGGTGGGGTAGGGATATGGTCTCTATCTGGTGGGGCACTATTAGGTCTTGGGGGTGGAGTCGGGCTATGTGACCTGTAAAGATCTTGCGGATCCATTGCAGGAACAGCCGAAACCCGATCAGTTCCAGGCATAGCGTGTTTCCTACAAACAACAAACAGTAGTAATAAAACAATAAAAGATACAAAAACAAATCCAAAGAAATCCCAGATTATTCATGATTTATGAAATATGACAAAAAATTATTTATCAACAAACACTTATCAATATTTCAAAACTGAATCTTGAAAAGTTATTGTTAGTCTCTGTCAAAACTTCCTACATTTCTTTAAAGACCATAATTATGGAGACTTTCCAGTTTAACTGGTAGAAGACCTTAGGTTTCCTGTAATGCATTATTTCAGGCAAAACCAGGTAGGTACCTGAGTAGAACTGCCAACCTCCCTTCAGCTAGCTGGATAGCTTTCTTATATGAAAGAATCTAAAGTCCGTAATTAGGAAATTAGGAAATAATATTTATTCAAACTTTTAGGAACATCTAAAAAGCTGGTAAAGTGTTTTGTAAAGAATTGTACCTGCTACATTTTTTCATTTCATCAATTTCTTTTTTCCAGGACAGTTTAGCACATTCATCTCGAAGTTCTGCAACTCTGTCAAGATTCTCAAGCCCTTTCTTCATTTCATCTTTCAACAGTCGAATATCTTCACTCTACAAATATCAAACAAACTAATGAAAGCAATTGTGTGTCTTTTAAAATTTCTTTTGTTTAATTCAATTTGCAACAAAGAAACTGATTATATCATTGAAGGTTTATTTCAATTTTAAATTAGTTATCAACTAACAGTCCCTTTAAAAATAAATGGTTCTAATTGTTCTTTAAAAAACAAGTAAAAGGCCATTTTGTGCACATGCTTGGAAGATTAATGAAATATCGGTACGGTAGGAGAGTATAATTTTTATAAGCTGTATTTCTACAATTCTAAAAGTTCTTCACAAACGAAAGAGTTAACTACATCCAATTGCACAAATATGTTTTTAAGCACATTCTTTGCCTGCTGGAAGCAATGATTTAGCAATGCAACCAGGACAGACCTAGATCGGCCAGCACATCCATGCTGTCTGATCATGGTCTGCACTGTTCAACTATTCAATCATATTTTTTTTTATTTTTATAAATGATGAATGATTTTGACCAGATTGTAAAATTGCCAAGTCCATTTAAGATATTCAGTGTGGTAAGTGTTAAGTCTATCAAATGAAAAATAAAAGAATAATAATTTAAAGCCAGCTTTTTGTAGTTTTTCATAAAAAAACAAAATTTTGGAGCATAATTATTACATTCATAGAAACAGTTATAAATTCTGTTACGATATTCTACCTCTTTTTGATAACAAATGGCTATAAACAGGGTTTTCTTAAAGTTAACTTAAATAAAATTTAATGAGCATTAAAAAATTGACTTTACCTCAAATGATTCTGGTTGACCTTCAAGATCGGCACCTTTCTCGGAGAAATAATGATATCTACCACCTGTAGCACGTGCTAGGTCATACAGGAAGTGATTAGCCTCCGCATCATTACAATTAAATGATATAGTGTGCACGGGAACACTGTGCTGCATCTGTACTTGAGCAATAATTGATTTTGGTGGCTGAAATATTTAATCAAATTAATAAACATTTATTGCTAATTATCATAATTTAAATTTGAGCAAACAAACAGTACACTGGTGGATACAGATTTTATAAAAAATTTTAATTTAGAAAAAAAATAGAAGTAATGCTGTCACAACACAAGTAAATTGTTGAAGTAAGACAAATATAACATGTGACTATATACTCAAAAAGTGTGTTCATATCTACCTTTAAGACAATTCTTTGGGTTATTTTTAATCTTATAAAAAGATTAGTATCTATATTAAAATACTTAATATAATAATATGAAAACTCTGAACTTATAGTAATGAATGTTTCTTGATTTAATTTTTTAAAAAGCAAAACTGAATAATTTCATTTCAGTTAATTTTGACCTTATACAATGTTTATTATAGTATTTTGGACAAAAAAAAAAAAATTTAATTTCGTTCCTAATAAAATCAAAATATAAAATTTTATTTGGTAAGTTTTGTCACAAAGTAGAAATGAGTTTTGAACCTGATCAGGTCTTCCATCTGTGAGCAGGTATATAGCTTGTGTGCCAGGATCACTGAGGGCATGCTGTAAGGCAGAGTATGTGTTAGTTGAGCCCCAACAAGAAAGTCCCTGAATCCATCTCCATGCCCCCTCGAGACTCGTCTCTGTCACGTCAACAAGTCGGTTCTGCCAAACTTGAGCTTTAGAGTTGAAGGCAATAAGGTTGAACTTCATTTTATGTCGGAGTTGTTCCTGAAAGATATGCAAGAGAAACTGTAATTTTTAAAAAGTTGAATTCTTTCAATTCTTTACTTTATTAAACATTTTTAAATAATAAAGTGTTACAGTTAATTGCATGCACAATAACATTTCTTGTTTAGAAAGCTTATACCAAAATCTCCACATAAATCATACACATATCATGGAAGATTGTACCAAAAGCTACCATTCTATTACACATAAAAAATATCAAGTTATGAGTATGGAGACAATAGGACTTTCATTATTTCTCATAATGAAATAAAAACCGAATCTGTAGAAATATTTGCTTAAGCCACATTGCCAATTCTTAATGTCTTGATAAATAGTGTTTCTGAAAAGAAACTTATTTTTGGTGATTTCAACATAAAGGTTTTGCTTTACCTGCATCAGAAGAAAGAGTTTGTCTTTCACATACTGGATACTGGGCACCATAGATTCTGACGTGTCAATCACAATATATATCTGATCTTCAATAAGTGTTCCGAACAAAGATCGGCTGCCTTGGTTCAACCAATCAACTCTGTTCTGAATTGCACGTAAAGCCACTAGCATTTTCTGCTCGTATGTACGATGGAGTTCAGGTGTGACTTGCACATGTACGACTTTTCCGTCTTTCCATCGTACCACTGGAAATCTGTCACAGTATTTAGCATTTACCAGTTTCTTATAGCGTAACTGAAATAAAATATAAACATCAATATTGGTATGGGTTTTTCTTTTAATTCATCAAATGAAAATGATCATATTCATCTATTATTTGATATAAAGATGGAGGAGATAAAATTGTAAATTTTTTTTATTTCTTTTTTAATTTGGAACCCATATATTCTAATATACTATATACCTTGTACAGAATATTCCCATAGCCTTATTTGTTGTTTGAATAAGCTTTTTATATACATTGAATTATATGAATAAACAAATATTACGCTGGGTAAAATAAAAGATGATAATGTGCATCACTCATTTATTCTATTATTTTCTACCTTCACTATGAAGAGCTCAATCTATTTTTAGAAACTGTAACTTACAGCATCTGTCTGATATTCATCAAGTGGGTGTGTCTGTAGATCAACAACACCATCACGATGATGGAATGCCACTCCGCTCAGGGCATCGAAGAGCTCCAACTTCTTTGCTCCAAGACCATACTTGTCTAACCAATGACGTGAACTCATGTATTGTTCATTCACTTTCTCCAGATCTACTCTAGGAGCAAGTTCGGACTCTGTAATCAGTGAAAGATAAAGAGATAAATCTACATTGACTATAAAAAGACATAGTTAAATTTATGACCAATTTGAACATTTTTTTCTAAAAACAAATGACTTTTAGAGGAAAGAACAAATAAAGGGTTCATAAAAACAGTTATTGTGACAGCATTATTTTAAACTGTGGGAATTGCCAAATCTTGCGATAAATCTAAATTTTTATCAATATTTTTAAGTATAAATAATCTTTAAATCTTAATTGTTTTTTTTTCTAAAAAATATCATTTCTCCATTAAGCTGTCTTTCAAAGCAACTTTTCAACAATGTTCTGCAGTTTTTAATCTATTTTACTTTAGCTAAATCAGTTGCTATGATAAGTCCATTTTAAAGGGACAATGATTGTACATGCTTTAAGATTTCTACAGTAATTTTACCAGCATATAATGTAAATATGTTACACTCAACCTTCAATGTCTACCATGCATTAACAAATATTTGACATCTGTAGCTAAACTTACATAGATTTACTTTTTCAAAAATTTCATTAAGTTTTGTCTCTTATGTGTCCAAGTTCATAACATTCAATGAAACACTTAAGACAATCATTAACTTAAAGCAAAAAAAAGAAAGAAAAGACTAATATTAAGAGCTTTTTTACTTTAAAGATGTAATACATTGTTCATACATGTATATAATTTTGAACTCACAACTTTATATAAAACATAATATCAACAAACAAAAATAGTGTACTGTACTTTACAAAATATATTTGTGTGCAGCTGTAGTTGTGTTAACTATTAATTACAACAAATATCAATTACTATAAGCATATAAATATAAGCAAATGAGATAAATAACATAAATTAAGCATTTTACATGACCATGGATATATATGTTTACTTATGTCTGTTTCTACTTTCTTTTACTTTCAAAGGGAAATCATACGAAACTTTTCTGTATCTGATTCTTTTAAAGACGTGTTCGGGAGTTTTCATATAGAAATAGAGGCAAAATTAAAAGAGTTGAATAGAATTTCTTTAAATTTGGCATGTTGATATAATATGATAACCCATACATTTTCAGCAAAAAAAAATTGGGGTCACCATGCTTGTTTTTGAGATATCTGCCACTGAATTGGACTTTTTTTTCTTAATTCAAGGGCAGATAATTCACAATGAATGTACACAATACCATATTTTTTTCTTATTATTATGTAGTTCAAAGGAATTCTATTGAAAACAGTTTTAATTCTGCCTTAGCAATATGGCTACATAAAAACTCTGGAATATGTCCTTTAGTTTGTTTGTTTTTCTTCTTCTTGAAATGTAGTTCATTGTTGAAAAAAATATAGCAAGATAAAAAACATTAATGGTCTGTCTGAAAACTAGAAACAAACATTTTTTTATGGCCTAATAATTAGTTGTTTTTACTACTGTCTTATTAATTTTATTTTTCGTTTTCATACATGCAATACCTATTTGTAATGTCTGGCCGTCTATATCTAAGAATATATCTAAATTACAAAGAATAACACAAAATATATAAATATGTCTAAATAACAAAAAAGCAAAAAATAGGTCTACATAATATAAAAGCAAAAAAAGAGTACATTTTTGCATAATAAATAAGGACTAAAATAGAGAGATGCAAGCAAAGTTTACAAAGGAAACTATAAGTTTGAACTTAACAAGTTGTGACATTGCAAATAGTCACAGATCAACACACTCAAGTCATGATTTAGGAGTATATTTTATAGAGGCACTCAAGTCATGACAAGGGAGTATACTATATAGATGCACTCAAGTCATGACAAAGGAGTATTTATCTATAGATGCACTCAAGTCATGGCAAAGGAGAATATTTATTATTATAGATGCACTCAAGTCATGGCAAAGGAGTATATATCTATAGAAGCACTCAAGTCATGGCAAAGGAGAATATTTATTATAATAGATGCACTCAAGTCATGGCAAAGGAGTATATATCTATAGAAGTACTCAAGTCATGACAAAGGAGTATATATCTATAGATGCACTCAAGTCATGACAAAGGAGTATATATCTATAGATGCACTCAAGTCATTGCAAAGGAGAATATATCTATAGAAGTACTCAAGTCATGACAAAGGAGTATATATCTATAGATGCACTCAAGTCATGGCAAAGGAGTATATATCTATAGAAGTACTCAAGTCATGACAAAGGAGTATATATCTATAGATGCACTCAAGTCATGACAAAGGAGTATATATTTTAAGACGCACTCAAGTCACAACAAAGGACTATACATCTATAAATGCACTCAAGTCTTGGCAAAGGAGTATATTTAGAGATGCACTCAAGTCATGACATAGGAGTATAGATTTAAAGACGCAATCATGACATGGCAAAGGAGTATATATTATAGATGCACTCAAGTAATGATGCAAGATCATATATCTAAAGAGGCACTAATGCCCTGATAAAGGAGAATAATAATTTACAGACACACACAAAATATCTAAAGAAAGAATGAGAGTACATCTTGTGATTATGATTGAAAATATATTGTAACAGTAACATGTGGCTTTAAAATCTTCAAACATAAGCATAACAATTTAACATCTACATGCAATGTGTAATGTACCGAAATGACCACTCGCAGTTCTCCTTTTAACATCTGTAAAATGTTAAAATATCAAATGTAAAAAGGAATTTATATTATACCTATATAGTATAGATTGTGCTTTTTTTCCCCCCAACGTCTGCAATTCTAATGATTAATGGATTGACAATGAAAACATGACATATGAACTCAGTATGAGTTACTGTGGGTTGGTTCAAAATCTTGATCAAAAAAAGTAAATGAATGAACCTTTTTATGATTGGTAACTTAGTATTCTTGTAACGGGAAGTAACTGGCTACCTGTTGTTACTTTCATAGCCAAATTACAATCAGAAAATCATTTTAGGATTCCTTTGAGGAAGTATAATGTTGAAAAATTTAAAAAGATCAGTTGACACAAGAAGAAATGGGGGTAAATAAAAACTAAAAAGCATAATATTCCAAAAAACCATCAAACTTTGCAGAGAAATTTGCATAGATATCAACATAAACAGGTGATCAAACTTACCATTAGCTGATACTTTAATACAAGTGGTAAAATATTACGTTTTTACAAAAATAGAATAAAACCAATATGCTTTTATGGTAAATTTTAAACTTACATTTTAACAGATTTAGCTGATTGTGAATTTTGCTAATATTTTAGAACAATAACTAGACAATATGCATTTACGTGTAAAATAATATCGTAAATCAGTCATAAAAACTTTGCAGTGTTAAATATGGAGAATGAATCATTAAGCTATGAAAAACTTTAAGTTTAATGTGACATGAAAAGACCCGTACACAAGTCCTGTATTATTTTTGAAAATATGAACTAAATTAAAAGGGAATACAAAGGAAACTTTTGTTTCTAGCTAATAACAACATTTAAACGGCTAATTTTTATTTTAGAAAATCTAGCTTTAAACTGAAAATAGTATGGGGCTAAATGTAGCAATAATGGGTTTTTCTATAGCTTATTTAATGCACGACAACTTGCGGTAGACTTTATATGTCATTTGAAATTCATATTGGTGGCATAAGAATAAACTTTATTTGTTCACAACCTAGAGAATGTTGCAGCCTAATAAAATAATGGCACAATAGTCTAATATAATAGCAATTTTAGACAACATCCTAATTGAAAAAAACATTTCAAAAATTTATCCTACTTTTACTGAAACAAAATCTTTACAACAAACATTCATATTCAAAAATTCATATTTTAGCCATTTGTTTTATCCAGATGAAGATTAATAAAACAAATTTATACATACCAAGAACTATGTTTGGCTCTGGAGTCATTCCAATGAGCTTTTGAATTTGAATGAGATTGTTCCTGGCATCCTCCATTTCCTGGAATAGTAGAACAATGTCTTCCCGGACACCAGCACCAGGCGGAATACCACCAAATGTTTTCTTCTTTAACATAATATTAGCCTTATTGGTATTTGGGTCAACAGGAAGTCCCTCATAAGAATCCATTTCCATGACAATTGCATAGACATGACTCCTGTAAAAAGACAATTTAAATAAATTGTTCTATATCTGTTTGTTAAGTGTGAAAGCATTAAATATTTTGAAACAATAAGTTCCTACATTTGTTTGGATTGCAGTTAATTTGTCACAATAACACTGTGTCACAATCACACTGATAAGATCATTTTAAGATTTCTCTGATCATCCCAGATGACCATTCATGCAATTTTCAAAGATCAATACATGGCTTGCTGATTACAACCAACAGTCTAAGAAGATACATTTCAATACATGATTTTTCTGTGAAGACAGATTGAGCGATTGGCCTGAAATTTTGCACACAGGTTATTTGGGCAAGGCCTTAATTATAGGAAAAATTTTTTTTGAAAAAAAAACAAAAAAAAATCCAGTCCTGTCTTGTCAAAAAACTTCAGTGGTAACCCTTTAATGTCCTTACAGGACATAAAATACAACAGCACAGCTGTAAGGAGACAGCAACCTAAACAATTAACTCAGAGAAGTCTGCTAATAAAGTACATGTTGAAACATTCACTGTCATCTTGTTAATTCTTTCCTTTTTTTTGACAAAGCAAATAAAGTTAAAACTACAATGAATGGTATGGTTCAAAATGAAAAGAAAATATTTGAGCCGCGTCATGACAAAACCAACATAATGGGTTTGCGACCAGCATGGATCCAGACCAGCATGCGCATCCGCGCAGTCTGATCATGATCCATGCCGTTTGCTATCAGTTTCTCTACTTGTTATAGGGTTTGTAAGCGCAAACCCATTATGTTGGTTTTGTCATGACGCGGCTCATTTATTAAACATCTTACTTTCCCCCTGTAGCAGCAGCAAATTCTCTCAGGAACCTGACTGTGTCCGAATTCTCACAGTTATATGACACAGCATGAATTGGTGGTTTACCCTTTACAGCACATATCTAAAATTACAAAACCAAATAATTAGCTACATAAAAAATGTTGACTCAATAATTTACAAATATGTTAATACATTTTTAACCTAATACAAGAAAATGCAACATTTCAGAACTAATTTTTTGTAATAAGCATTTTCATCAAAATTTTTAAAGGAAGACCAATTTGTTCATAACATCAATATTTTAAGTTAGTAGTACCTAAAAGCATATAAAATTAAAGCAGAACGGTCTTAGAATACCTCATAATTGTAAACTGACAATAAAAAAAACTCTCAGAAATATGTAAAAAATTTATAAAGAAACATTTTGCTTTAATTTCATTTACAGAGAAAGACAACAATATTTTTGACTTGTTTCAGGTCTGTGTTATTGTGTGAAAATTGTATTTAGGACATGAATCACTTTAAAAAGACTGTTTTTCATAAAAAAATACATGATATCTGGTGTGTTTAACAAAAGTCACTGACCTTCTCTTTGAGTAACTGTCTACATGTATCAACTGAGGAACCTTCTGTGTACAAATATATAGCCTCATTCTGGAAACAAAAAATATCAACTTTATTGTAGAAATTTTTTAAAAATCTTTGCAAAATCAAATCAAGCTTGTTAATCTTATAGTACATATTATAAGGATCTTACATTAGTTATTATTTTATATTATAGGTTTAATCAGGGTGAAGTAACATTTAGCCTTGCTGGGCAGCTACAGAATCTTCCCACGCAAACCAGTGCAAACTAAGATCAGCAGTCACATCCATGCCGGCTGATCATGGTCTGCATGGTCGTTTTTTATTCAGTCTGTAACAGAGCATAGCAGCTAGGGTAGTAAATATATAAACAACCATTTATATTGGCCCCATAACCTGTAAAAAAATCTTAATAATGTGATTAATACAATACATCAAGTTAGATACCCATACCTGTTTATCTTCAATAGCACGCAATACTGCTTCAACACAGGCCGTGTTTGACACGCTAGCCAGTCTATCAAGACTCCATAACCATTTGATAGCGCCCTCTACAGTATCATGAGTGACGGGAACACAGTGATCCTGGTACATACTGATCTCATCATTTGCTCTGTAATGTGTAAAATAACGAATGATTAAAATTGTATATGAATATAACATGTCGATTTTTCTTCCTTTGTTTTCAGTATGGTTTAACCAGTCCTGCTGAATTTCTTTTATGGACATGAACATCTTCCAATCCCAACTAAAACATTTATCATTTTTAAGGACAATTGCTAATGGACAGTACAGATCGTGGTCTTCAATGGTTGCATGCTGGGTAGAATTTGTTGCAGTCGACAGGCTAAGAGTTAAATTACCAAAAATGTTACAGCCATACAAGACAAACTTTGAACTTTCATAAAAAAATAAAATATCTAGAATCCTATGACTCTTATTATTTTGTTAAAGTGGGCACTTGAAAAGATGCTCCTCTTACTTTATATAAAAGCAGTGAAATAATTCTGAGTGAAGAAAAACTAACATGATTATTTAAGTCAAAAGAGAAAATCCTTCTCAGCTGATGTTTTTACTAGCATGTAAACATACCTTATGAGATTAAACTTGGCGATCTGTGTAACCTGTTCATACAAGACACGCTCTAGTCCCATTCTATACATATCAAATTGTTGTGGTGACATATTTCGAATGTCAAGGACAACGGTAACAGCTCTCTCTTCAATGACGCCAAACAGACGTCGACTCTCCGATGTCAACCATTCAAGACGACGTTTATACAGGTGTATGGCTTGCTGAAGGCGGTTCTCTAGTTGACGTAGCTTATCTCTTCCACATGTCACCTATTTTTTATTATATCATATTTATGATAAAATCACTTTGGAATGAAAATATTAATCATACTTAAACAGTACATATTTTTAGAATCAATCAAAAATTGTATTAAAAATTATACATGGCTTAAAGACAATTATAATTCTAAGATTTGAGAAAGTTGTACTTTTCATTATCTCTACTAAATTAAAGCAACTGTGCTTTTTTAAAACTGTTTTCACTTCTCTTCTTGGATTTCTTTTGAAAGTTAGAATCTGATATAATGCTTTGTTTCTTAAATCCTAACAAAGTAAAACACAATAATAGTAGATTCTCTCTCTTAATTGGGAAGAGACCCTAGCCCTTTGATATTGGGAAGAATTATTGATAACATAATTTGCCGATTCGGAAAGTAAAAAGGTAGTTTAAGGTTGAATTTTAAGGAAAACTGCATGATTTTAAAGAATTTTTTTATTGGGAAGAGGCCTTTATAAGGTGAAAAACTTTATATAACACTTAGTTCAAACAAGAGGATGGTAAACATTTTGCTGAGATATGAAACAATTATCTTAATGTTATACAACTGGTACATACGTTGAACATTTTGCCATCAGGTCTCATGAGTTGATGGAACAATCCTTCAGCATATCTTGATGAAACTGGTCTCTTTAGTGTCAAGTCATAATCTACAAAATATAAATTATATAATGATATATGTATCGTAATGTATATCTTGGTCACAGTCAATGAAAATTGAATATGAGTGCAGTTGTTTTTCTTACAAAAGTGATAATTTGTTGTCAAAATAAAATAATGCTTCCAGTATAGAATGAAAATATTCATAAAGTGACAAGTCTAATAAGAATGAGGGAAAATTATAAGGCTTATCCATTTTTAAAAATGCAACTATTGAAGTAGATGATTACGCTTCAATTGCAAATGATGTCACAATGAAATACCTAATTCCAGAAACTCTGACCAAAATTAATGTAACATCTGTCACACCAATCAAAAACAAGTCTTAATATAAGGTACTTTCATTGGCTTAGATAAAATCTGTAATATTTTCAAAATTTCATAGCTAAAAAGTGTTAAATAGTAAATATACCTTCACTCATTTTAAAACCAATCACAGGCAGAATCTGTTGTAAGGCAAGCTTGTTCTTGTGTAGGCCATAGTTCTGTAGCCATTTCCGTGTAGAGATGAGGGCACGAACATCAAGCTCCCACTCTTTGCTGGGGGTCTTTTTAATGCTGACTTCGGGATTATAATCATCCTCACTTTTAACTATCACAGATGAAGGGGTTTCGTTAAGGCACCGGGTGTTCATGTCAAAAGACACTTCTGAAATATACAGAAAAAATAAAATAATTTCACGAAACCATGTGATGATCATGTCAAAAAAATGCTTTAGAAATAGACAGTAAAATTCACAATCATTTTATTTCCCATTTATCTATGACTAAAGTTACAATATTCATGTATGATAATATTTCATTTCCAATGCTTTGGAAATAGACGGAAAAATTTACAATCTGTGAATCATTTTTATCCCCTTTTATCTATGGCTAAAGGTACAATATATAATTTTATTTCATTTCTATCATAATAAAGGTATGATAATGAAAGGTTCATCCTAGCTGACTTCTTGTTTTTAATACAGGCTGAGAGTGAAAACCATTTTAAAATCCCTCCATAAACTTTCAGGATATTGAATGAGTGTAGATTTAATACTAAATTTATTGAATAAGTTGAATGAAATCATATTATGTGAGCCTCTGGCAAGCAAAATATTGTTTTATTTAAGGAGTTCAATAAATGTTGTATTGAATCTCCATGAATACAATATTCTATTTATCACAAACATGTATCTAGAATAAGACCTGTTTAGAGCTAAAAAGTCATTTTTCATTGACATGATTTTATTAGAATGCTTGCATAAGTGCGCTTTAACGCTATTTTTGTATGTAATGCAAATTACGTCAAGTCGAAGTGTTATTACACTTTGAGTGTAAGTAATAGAAAGAGCACCGAAACACGAGGCTATCTGATTTGTACGAGGGGGCGTAGCCCCTGAGTATAAATCAGATTGCCGAGTGTTTTGGTGTTCTTTCTCTTTTGTATCATAGTCAAACATGACAGCACGTTCCCTGTTGTCATAATACGAAATCCCAGAAAAAATGAACCAATGAATGAGCATTTGAATATGATATTTCTGCCCCTTTCCCTTTCTCTGCCGTCACAATAAGTAAACCCCAGCAAAAATGAACCAATAAACGGGCATTATCTGGAGTGCGGGTAACTGATACCTGCACTCCAGTTACCGCACTGTGCATGTATATGTATACGATTTAACTCTGACACTTTTTCAACAGAAAGGTCCCCAAACTATGATACAATAACCTTTTATTACATGGGTTTATTACACATATATGCCGTGGCTTATGTGATAAACATTTTGTTTGCAATGAACGCTTTGATTGTTGGCAATTATAATAACTTCCTTGTGCCATTTATATAATCTATAGAGCCTTGCAGACCCACACACTTGAAATATTCTGACCAAACTATTATACTTTCATCAACTCAATTTTAGTTTTGATATTGAACCCTTATAACCCTATCCTCACTCTATCTTTCAGTCTAGACAAACATTATCATTATTAGAAAAATATTTCAAATTATATACTGACTGAATAGCAAACAGTGCAGATCATGATCAGACATAAAGAATATGCCAGCTGATCTTGGTCTTTATTTTACCAATGGGTAAACTGCCAGCAGGCTAAAGGTTAAACTACCAACAGACTTATTCTGTTACCGGCAGGCTATTTTAGGTTAAACTACCAACAGACAGTTTCATTTTCAAATTATGACATGTTTATTACATAATTTCATCTGGATATGGGTTAAATACCATAAAAGCTGATATATAAATTGTTCCCCAGATAACAACATGCTGACAGGGATTTTATAAAGGTCTTAATGTATTATAAGTGACAAGTCTTATCCATACAGAAAACAAGATAATATATTGAATATTTGCATTGATATTTAAAATATAATGATATTATACTGTATGACAAATGTGGGGAGGATTGACAATGTCACAGATAAAGGAAAAATTAGGTGAGAACAGCTTAAGTTTAAGAGAGTTCTGCTTCCTCAATAAATATTATCAGAGATTCCTTAAATGAAATACATGCTAGCTTAAATAATGCACAATAATTTGTACTAAGACATGATAATTTAAGTACTCAGACATGGTGCTTGGTAGGAAGACATCAGGTGTTTGGTAGAAGACAAGATGATTGGTAGTTAGACAAGATGATTGGTAGTAAGACATGATAATTGATGATTAGTTCTAAGACATGATGATTGGTAGTCAGACATGATGATTGGTAGTAAGTCATGATAATTAGTTCTAAGACATGATGATTGGTTCTAAGACATGATGATTGGTACTAAGACATGATGATTAGTACTAAGACATGATGATTGGTACAAAGACAAGATGATTGGTACTCAGACATGATGATTGGTACTCAGATATGATGATTGGTACAAAGATAAGATGATTGGTACTCAGACATGATGATTGGTACTCAGACAAGATGATTGGTACTCAGATATGATGATTGGTACAAAGACAAGATGATTGGTACTCAGACATGATGATTGGTACTCAGATATGATAATTAGTTCTAATACATGATGATGGGTACTCAGACATGATGATTGGTACTCAGACATGATGATTGGTACTCAGACATGATGATTGGTACTCAGACATGATGATTGGTAGTAAGACAGAATGATTGGTAGTTAGGCATGATAATTAGTACTCAGACATGACAACAGTTACTGGTAGTAAGATATGATGACTGGTAGTAATAGAAAGTCTGAATAAGACATAAAACATAGGTTGTAAGGGATGATAATTGGTAATAAGATATGATAAATGCAAGTTAAACATGATAATTGTAAAAGAGGAGATTAAAATATACAAAAAATAATCCATACATAGCTACCATGGTTAGCCATGCACTAGAAATATAGTGATAATTACAGCAAAATCAGTAATTAATCTCACATAGTATCATAGTTTGGAAAATGTGTCAGAGTTAAATCGTATATATATATGCACAGTGCGTTAATTGGAGTGCAGGTATTAGTTACCCGCACTCCGGAGCATGCCCACTGAATGGCTCATCTTGGCTGGGGTTTACAAATTGTGACGGCAGAGAAAGGGAAAGCAACAGAAATATTATATTTAGATGCTCCTTCATTGGTTACTTATTTTCTGGGGTTTCATATTGTAACAACAGGGAACATGTTTTTATTTTTGACTATGATACAAAAGAGAAAGAACACCAAAACACTTGGCAATCTGATTAATACTTGGGGGCTATGCCCCCTAGTACAAATCAGATAGCCTTGTGTTTCGATTCTTTCTATTACTAACATGTAAATTTCTACTTGATAACATGTAAATTATTGCTTGAATCTTTTTACTTTTCTTAAAATCTTAGTACATTTTCCTCAAGTTTTATTTTCTTGAAATACTTAGACTCATCGGGCATGCAGCTTTAATAAACATACAAATTTTTCCCTATTTAAATTCTTTTCAACATATACTTAAAAATTCAAACTGTATTTGATAAATATATAGTATATCTGTAGCCAAATATAAAATGACAATTTTAATTCAAATCAAATATTTGTACAAGTTGGTGTTTGAATACAGAATAATTTACCAAAGACATGGGTTATCAAAGGTATTGACCCAGGGAGAATAAATTTCATTCTGCCACTGCCTAAATAAAGGTATATAGTTTACATAAAATGTGACCTGTAAACTACACCTGTATTATAACATTAAACAATTCTCCAGATGAAGAAGGAGTCATAAAACAGGTTCCATAAAACATTGTAGCACATTAAAGGGTGACAATAACTTTACCTGTATAATGGACTATACTATTTAACAGAAAATAACAAGGAACATCGCAATGCGATGCAACCAGGTTTTCAGCAAAATATTTCACAGAAGCTTTGTCATGAAGGGGCATTTGTTTTTAATTGAACTTTTAGGAGGAATTATGGCTTTTTTAATATTCCTCAAACAAAAATGATTGAGAAATTTTATGTTGTCTATTCGCCTTTTTTTCCCAAATGTTTTAGAAAGGTAAACAGTACTTTATTTTTGCTTAATTTTTGCATTTTTGCGTCTCTTGTCATTTTCTTTTGTCAACAATATTGGCGTGTGGTGTTTTGTGCGATATCAAGAAAAGTATGTTCACAATTTTAAAAAAATACTTGAATGATGTCTTGGAAGAAACTTGGGAATTTAGTGAGCGCCAGGGCACTTGATGACAAAGCTTCTGTGAAAGTTTGGTCAAAATCCATTGAGAAATGTAGGAGAAGTTGCGCACTGTAGAAATTGTTCACTATATATTCTGTATAAGGAAAAAATATACAAAGGGCCATAATTCGGTCAAATATTATCCAATCACAAAACCCCAACAATATGTGCCAGGCACTTGATAACAAAGCTTCTAAGAAAGTTTGGTCAAAATCCGTTGAGAAATGTAGGAGGAGTTGAGCACAGAAGAAATTGTTCTCTATATATTCTGTATAAGGAAAAAATATACAAAGGGCCATAATGCGGTCAAATATTATCCAATCACAAAACCCCGACAATATGTGCCAGGCACTTGATAACAAAGCTTCTAAGAAAGTTTGGTCAAAATCCGTTGAGAAATGTAGGAGGAGTTGCGCACAGAAGAAATTGTTCACTATATATTCTATATAAGGAAAAAAAAACAAAGGGCCATAATTAGGTCAAAATATATACCAATTGCAAAACCCTGGCAATATGTGTCAGGGCACTTGATGACAAAGCTTCTGAGAAAGTTTGGTCAAAATCTGTTGAGAAATGTAGGAGTTGCGCACAGAAGAAATTGTTCACTATATATTTTATATAAGGAAAAAAAACAAAGGGCCATAATTAGGTCAAATATTATCTAATCGCAAAACCCCGACATTATGCGCCAGGGCACTTGATGACAAAGCTTCTGTGAAAGTTTGGTCAAAATCCGTTGAGAAATGTAGGAGGAGTTGCGCACAGAAGAAATTGTTTACGCCCGCCCGCCCGCCCGTCCCGCCCGCCGACATACCTCAATCTAATAACCAGTTTTTTCCTTCGGAAAACCTGGTTAAAAACACAGTTACTTAAAGATGGTAATAATGGGACTTCAGATGGTATTTAAAGACTGCATTTTATCACATTGTATGATATCTTACAGTAATCCAAGTGAATAAGCTTATATTTTGACACAAAACTTATTTATACATTTTTTTCAATTTTCCACAGTATAGATTTTAACATATAAATTAATTGACGCAAAAGTGGCTCAAAAGGTTTTGACTATATAGAGAAGCAAAACAGTATACATTATTTCAATTTCTTTTGTTACAAAATCCTTTAATATGAAGAAGGTGAGCTAAAAACAAATGTATATAAGTCACTTACTATCAGAGTAGGCCATTTTCTTGTACGGATCCACTGCCAGGAACGTATCCCTAATGGCGGAGGAAGTTTTCTGTTCTGTTTGGAGAAGGCTTTCCATCTTTGTTGTCTTTCACTTTTTTGAATCAACAAATCATTGACCTGAAATTTAAAAAAAAAAATGTCTTAAATTATGAAGAATTAAACAAAAAGCACTCGGAGTTAAACTAAATCTTCTCAATATTGATAATTAATAAATATAATACTCAACAGGCTTTACTTCTTTATCATAATGAAGTGTTGCAAATGCTCTTTTGAAGAAAAAAAAATACATGCCATTATAAAAGGATGATCAATAAAAAAAAAATTGTTTTTCAGAATTTTTTTTTTACTTTTATATCATGTATATAATAAAATATGGAAAATATCTATACAAATGTAATCCGCAGAAATTTTTTCACTTCTCTACATATATCTTCTTCTTTAATGAAAAAATTCCTTGTTGGAATATACATTATACATGTATTTTACCTACTGTTTATTGATTGTAAGTTAATTAGTTTCCCTATATACAAGTATGTGATCAGTGATAACGTAATTAGTAGCACTGGGAGCCAAATAATCAAACAGTGGTAAACAAATTATCAAACAATACTTTATTGATTAAGCCTTCAGCTTCCACTTACCCACATTACAATATTCCCCATGGCATGTTACAATAATTAAAAAATAAAGAAACCAATCTACATTAAATAGACTGATTAAAAGTTTATATACAAACATACAAATTTTTCTCTGACAAAAAAATAATACAGATCTACAAATCCTATCTCTAAACAATATCCTTATATTTTCACTTTTGTTGAAAAATAAACACGTAATTTATTATACATGTGATAAATAGTACATGTATAAGATAATGAAGATAGCTAAAGCTAGTGAGCGTTTATAATATATATTACATGTATATAAATTGTAAGTTTGGCAACTTACTGGAATTATAGTAATATTTATCATTGGAATACATAATGAAGGTCTATAGTTACTAACCAGAACTTGAAATAGGTCTATAACTGAATGTGAAAACATCAATAATGTCCATGTGAAAATGAGCCACGCCATGACAAAAACAACATTATGGGTTTGCGACCAGCATGGATCCAGACCAGCCTGCGCATCCGAGCAGTCTGATTAGGATCCATGCTGTTCGCTATCAGTTTCTCTACTTGTAATAGGGTCTGTAAGCGAACAGCATGGATCCTCCGATCAGACGGCGCGGATGCGCAGGCTGGTCTAGATCCATGCTGGTTGCAAACCCATTATGTTGGTTTTGTCATGGCACGGCTCAAATAATCTTTTGCAAACATATTACATAATTATAAATATCAATATATTGTGAAATTTTTAAAATCTAGATTACAATAATTAAAGATCATGACTCTATGACTTTCACTCCCTAGGAGTCATTTAGCTGCGTTTTTATTGTGTCCGTCTTTTATGATATATGATATGTCTTTAAATAACTATAGAATTTGGTAAATAAACAAACAAAATGTTCAATATGAATTATTATAGATATTAAAAAGGTCACAAAATAAGTTAAGTTAACAAAACAAGTCTCAGAATTAAGTTCTCTAACAGCCTTTTGATGAAAATAATACATGTATGTTTTGTATGATTTAAACCTTTTTATTTGTTCCCCACACGCATATCACTGAATATACAATGCTGACTTGAACATTATCAAGAACTTATAATTTATTTCTATATAAATAGTTGAAACTCGAATCCAAATAAACCACTTAACCCTAGATCCCAGCTAAATTTGCAGGGGGACAGTACCCTAGGTCTGTCGAGCACTTCTCTGAGTCAATGCAATGGTTGTATTTTCACAATTAAATACTGAAGTAAGGATTATTTCAACCTAACAATATGGGGATATCATTCTAATTGTCCTTTATTGAGGATTTGATAATAAAACATCTAAGTTTCTGATTTTCTTTATGGGTGTTGTTTGGGTGGTTTAAATGTAATTATAAGCTTTGTTTTAGGTCTTTAAAAACGTACCTATTTTTATACTGTGATGGGACGGGTACGCTGACAACGCCAAAGGGAAAATGCACCAATAATCGTGATAGAAATCTGGCTCCTATTCATTCATGGAGCATGCCATTGAGTGAAGTGCATCATATCCCAATATATAAGTTAACCATAATGTTTAAATAATTAGTCATGTTTAAACAGTTCAAAAGTAATTTCAAATATAAAAGTCCTTATATATATAATTTCCTAATAATGTGATTATCAGATTCACCTTAATTGGTAAATCTACATGATTGTATGGTTAAGAAAACAATACTACATGTATAAGCTTTAAACTGTTTATACATAATTTTTTTTCTTTTTTTTTTCAAAAATTCAAATGGTAGCTTTCTAAAGCTCATATTTTAATATATATAAGTACCAAAAAGTTTTGTTATTTTTTATAACCTGATCTCAAACTTAATGTGCAAGAGATGAAAGGCGGCATAAAACTATAAAGTTCTGCAATCCAGAACTTCAATAAGCTCAGATGTTGCATCTTTATAAATCTTATTTAATCAATTTGAGCATAAAAAGAATGAAGTAATGTAATTTTTAACCAAACCTTTAATAATTCATCATTAATTTTGTAAATTGAGATATAGCCCTGGGCAGTGTTTTCTCTAGAAATTGCGTGTTACGTGTCTTTTCCATTTGACATGTTAATATTATAGCCATATGTTTTCTGTGACGCATTTAAATGCGAGTGTCTTAGTATAATTTTGTTGTCCATAAATAGCATAAAGTTTATAACCTGATAGGTCACCGTGATGATTTATCTTAGACACTTAAGTTATTATAACACATTAAAAGCGCTCGCATACTTCAGAATGCTACATCAATTTATCCGGGTAAATTCGCAATGACTTCGTAGAACAAGCAGCGAAGATTAACTTCATTCTTTTAAAAACAGAATGATAACTTTAATGGGTGGATAGCTTCTACCAGAAGTATCTCTATACTTACATACAAAATGAGGAAACCAAACTGAATGCCCAAACTTTAATGTAGTCAACTAAGAAATCCAAGCAAAACGATAATGCTTCGAAGTGAGTTTTTCGTAAAAAGTTGCTTGAGACAATCTCTGGTTGCCACATAATGTACAGATTGTATATCCTAAAGTAAAGACAACCCATTCGACATAGGGTTGCATAAACTTCAGATTTTCTACATTAAAAAGACATGTTACACACACTGAATTCCAAAATGTCAAAAAGAGCTGTTACATTTTACAAAAACTGAAAATGAGGCTGAAAATATGGTGTAATTTATACGGGGAAGTCAAAGACCGGGCCCGCGAAGCGGGTCCGGGCTTTGGCTGGCCCGGCTATAGACTACACGTGTATATTTAAAAGAAAATCAAATAAAAAACAATTAAAAAATATATAGAATTCTATACCTATCAATGAAATTTTCAGTGTCAGTTCTAGTCGGGCGCCGCCATTTACAATGTAACTCAATGATAACAGGTGGGGTATTCCGATAACGGAACAAATCTCAACTTTTCGGATAAATAATAATCGTCAAGTGTTCCGAGTGAAAACGGAAGCGGTGCATGTAATACCGAATGACACCTTTAAAACGGAAAGAATGAAAGGAATTTTTTAACGACTTCCCCGTTCATAGGCTTTGCCTAATTTCATATTATTTTAGACATAAATAAATAATAAAATTATAATACCTTGTAAATTCTTTGCCTCTATATTAAGTTTAAGTGAAGTTATTGTTAATATATATTCATGACACTTTTCATTTCTAAAATGTCCCTCTAATTTAGAACAAAAGGGTCAAATATGACCCCAATTTCATGAGACATCACTGTACTAGCTGTAGCCAAAACTTCCAAGTAGTTTTTGTAGAATATAAATTTGGTCAAAATTTGCTAAAATCGGTGATTAAACCATACGAAAATGTTTTTTGAGAACATATGAGGTAGGAACTAAATGTTATTGCACGAAGTTACTTACGGTGAAGATTATTCAGACTTGTCTAAATCCAACAAGCTTAAAATGTTAAAGAAACTAAGCTAATTAAGCAAGCACCTGTCAATATCCGCCATCTTGTTTATCAATCGTTGCTTAGCTTTCTAAATTTCCGGCATTTTCCGTAAAAGGTCCTCGATTTTTTCCGTCAAAACTTATACCTGAATATTTCCGGAAATCAACGACAACAGAAAAAATATATCGGCTTTCTCCGTCAATTGGTTCTTGGCGTCTTAACAATTCTTCAACCAGAAGCCAGGAGCCAGTGTGTTAAAATTTATGAGCGCATAACCACATGACGTATTACACATTCATCGTTCAGGAAGGGAAACAGAAATGGCACCGACAGTTATTAGATTGTGCTGTGCTGCCTTTAGATGGACACCAGTTGTTTTTATATCAGCTATAGTTGTCTGGTCATATTATGCGTATGTTGTTCAAATGTGCTTTTGTAAGTATACCTGATCATTTATTGCTATTTTTGTTTTGTTTACATGGTTTATCACGATTTTTGATGCTTTAGGCCTTGAAATAACTGTTAGACTGTTTACACAAGTCTGAAGAAGCTGGCATTGTGGGAGAAACGCTGGGGCATGAGTTTCCACCCAGAGAAGTGCAGCATAATCAGGGTCCACAGGAAGAGGAACCCCATCATAAACCCTTACTCCTTGAAGGGCCACACACTCGAGATAGACTCGACAACCAAGTATCTCGGGTGTCCATATGTCTGGAAACCTTTCCTGAAACCAACATGTTGACAAGATTGTGAAGAAGGGCAACAGTACACTCGGCTTCCTTCGACACAACCTGCGCATCAGCAACGAACAGGTTAAGAGCACAGCCTACATGTCACTCGTGCGACCAGGCCTTGAATATTGCTCCACCGTCTGGAACCCTTATACCTTACATGCAAGCTCAAGATGGTCCTGAGGAGAGCTGCAAGATATGTGATGAACCGTTACCACAACACCAGCTGCGTATCCTCCATGATCCAACACTTGTGGTGGAAGACATTAGAGTCATGGCGAACCATTGAGCCCAGCTGACCATGATGTTCAAGATCACCAATGACCTTGTGGACATACCAGTCAGCGATTATCTCACCCCTCACCCCTGCCCCAAGCCGCACTAGAAGTGACCACTCCAAGAAGTTCCACCTACCATCCACATCTACATCGTACTACAAGAAGTCCTTCTTCCCTCGTACAGCCACAACCTGGAACAGCCTACCTGCCTCCGTTGCAGGGGCAATCATCCCTCACATTCTAATCCGCCATTAAGGGCCCAGCTACAAGTACCCACTATGTGCAGGCTGCGGCCACCGTAACCAGAGAGGTTTGGGTTGAAGAGGCGAAATGTAGCTAGCCAAACTTTTTGTCTATATCTCTTTCTTTTGACCTATCCAACCTCTTCTAACTTTCTATCATTTCTTGTATATTTCTTTTTCTTGACCTAGCACCAACTGTCGCGTTATAATCAAGTGTGATTGCGCCGATGTACGATGTAGATGTTAATGAATCGATTGTAATTCTTTAAGCCTTAATCACAGCGTACACTCCATCGTCCACAGTGACTTCCGCTTGCGAGCGAAATATACACTGTAAAACGCAGAACAAGGCTGAAAAACAGGTAAAACATGTCAAAATAAATAAATCATTGGTTTATTTTACTTATATGTGTGGTACTGACATAAACTAAATTATTCATAATCAATATTCTAATGTGCAAGCATATATTTTCAGACAAAATGCGGTTTCTCACTCAGATTTCTCGAAAAAAATCAAAATTGTTTGCATCAAACGACGATTTCAAAGCTTTTAACCTAATATTTGAACAAATCTTTTTGATGCTATCGAGAATTATGTTCTAAGCACCAGAAAATTAAAAACTGTTATTTGTAAACGTCTTGGTTGCGAAAGTATTGACAATAAATTAGCAACTGTTGATGTTCCCTCACTGTACGGTTGCTTGCTACCTCTCTGTACGGTTGCTTATGAGGACTTGAAAAAAAAACTGTACGGTTGCCTGGGAGCAAGCTACAAATTTTGTTACAATTAAAAACACAATTCTTGAACAGTTGGCCCATTTTAAAGGTAACAATGGCATTGGCCATGCATTTAAACCAAAATTAAAATAAATGTGGGTTTAATAACTAATGTATGTCAAACTTTGTGATGGTAAATTGAGACTCTAATATATACTTTAAGTGATTGAATTTAACTGCAGTTAACGTACATATTTACATGGCATGATGTTCAATGTATATTTAACGTTATTGTAACTTCTCTTTTTTGTAGGTTAATACTAATCATGGAGACATATATGTGCATCTATTGTGATTTAGAGTGTGAACAGTTTTGTGAATTAATAGATCATGTGATTATAAGACATCCTGACGAGAACCTGAAAATAAGAATTATATTATCAAAGAGGGGCAAAGTGTCAAGTCATAGCGATTTGACTGATTACTACTTTAGAATGTAAAATAAAAAGAAATAAAGTTAATGAGTTTTATTATGTTTGGCTCTGTATGCCTATAGAGCACTGCTTTTTTGCTTTTTTCTATTGCAGCAACAATATATTTGAGAGCGAAGCGTAAACATGCTAAAAGAAAAAGCGGAGAAATATCACAACCGGCATTGTCAGGACGAGGAGTTCAACCTGTGCGAGAATATCATAGATTAAATGAAAATATGATAACCGCAGAAAAAAAGATACGGTGGTTTGTCGGACATCTAATAATGACATACTGACAAACTGTGCACTGACAATATTTTAATAAGTGTTTAAAGATGAAACCTACGGAGTTTATTGAACGAAGTGATGCAAAGGACTTTCTCCTACAAGCAGAAAATGTGTCATGACTATGCTTTCACAGTAATAACAGTAAACTATTTGAAGTCTAACTTAACTACGGTAGTTCTGAAAATGATATGGATACAAGAATAATATTTTGACCTCAGTGAGTTAGAAGATACTTAGATAGTAGGTGCTGTTTTATCAAGACATCGGTTGAAACCTGACTAGCTCATAGTTTACAAATGGTACAATTAGCTATAATTTTTCCAAACATGTATAGAAAATTTCATTGGGGCTTGAAAGCTGTTCATTTCTTAAGGCATATGGACATTTCAAACCGAATGTAAAATTTTGATTATGGACAACACCAATCTCCTACGCAGTGATCTCCCCTTACAGGGTTGGCCTTAGCGTAACCTAAACCTCTCCTCACTGGTGTCCCCGTAATGTACCTACCGCTAACGGTTGGTCAATAGCGATTACCGTAGCGTAACCGGTGCGCGGAGTTTGGGACAACAAGACAAAGATAAACCAGTGTGTCATGTTACAACCTAAGTTTTACATATTACTACAAAATGAGTCTTGCTGAAAATAAAAAAAAGTCATGCTTATATTATCAAAATAGTTTATTATTATTTAGAATTATTAAAGACATTAGAAAATGGTAAAAATGAATAAGTAAATGAATCACAGAAAATCAGATATGATCACAGTCTTAAAATAATGTCGAGTGTATCTGCTCAGCAATAACAAAATAAAATAAAAAATATAACAATAACTGTACATGTATACACGATGCAGAGATGAACTTTCTGTTGTGTAAAATTCAAATGTCTAAAATAATTGTGATAATAATAACAAGTAACAAATTTATTGAGATCAGTAACATATACGCCGGTAAAGAGATGCTATATGTTGTATATGCTCTTTGAAAAATCAAAATAATTAACCATCTCTGCAACTATTTTAACATAGGGTAAAGAAAATTAATGTTCAAAGCAGACTTACACCGTTATCAGGGCAAAATAGTTTAAACCTGCCGTCAGTTATTTAAAATTACTTGCTGAAACTTGAATACGTCATAAGTCAATAAAGTAATACATTTTTAGTGTTAAAACATTGCTGAGAAGTTAATTTTAAACTATTTAGACGATATATAATGCCAATAAGCTCGTTAGCAACAGTACAGTGACCTCGCAAGCAACTGGACGAATTGTTTTTCAGATTTAGCAAGCAACCGTACAATGAGTAAACTTCACCAGTGCCAGTTTATTGTCCATATTTTCTTAACCGATGTGTTCAAAACGGGTATTTCTTTTTTATTTGGTGCTAAAATAGTAGATCTTCAAAGCATTAAGTGGATTTGGTCGTATATTACATGGTAAGCTTTAAAAATCGTTGTTTGATGTCAACAAAAAGAGCATTTCTGGAAAATTGTGGTGAGAAATCGCTTTTGTTAACGGAAAAAGATATTTTTACTGCAGGATTTAGGCTGGAAATAGTTTATTTTACCTAACTCTTACTTACAAAAGTAGAATTTCTTCTCTGGTTATTCTGTATTGAAATATTGTATCTGTTTTTCTCTCTACGATGGCGTTTTCCGTGTACAGCTCGCTCGCAAGCGGAAGTTTCCGTGCATGGACGATGGAGTGTACGCTGTGTTAATGGCATGCGAGTAATTACCGTACAAAAATCATTTGTTTAACTGCTGTATGAATAATTTAATGAAATAAGAGAATTTAATCATGATTTTTTTAATGTGACAGTTTAGTTATTTTGTTTAAAGGTATTTATTTTTTACTTTTGTTCATGAATAAGTCAAAATCAATGTATTTTTACGCTGATTTACATTGTAAGTGTATTTTCATTTTCGCCAGATTTTTCTTGCGTAATTTGCAATGGTTTTTTGAGCAATCTCTATATGACGTTAGTTATGCCAAGAAGCAAAAATATCTCAAAGCGACATCATATTCATAGGACTATATTTTGCCCGTCACACAAATCATTTGTTTTGTACACCAAGTTTGTATGGGGCCTAGATGAGTCAGGGCCAAATTGACCCGGATTCTTATTGGAAAACCCTTGAGCTTTTACAAGCCTTATACATATATATATATGTAAGTAGTCAAAATATATAGACATAAACCGCAGATTTGAAGCTATTTTTTTACACTGGTCAATTTTGCATTTTCCGATAAACATAAAAGTTTAAAAAAAAGAAAATGCAAAGCCTTTCTATTTATTAAGTACTAATATGTAAGACAAGGACGATATCCCTTCAACGTTTACAAGGTCACGTTTTGACAACACACTGGTGAAAGTGATTTTAAATGAAAACCTTTTTTACCTCCTTCGGAACTGACATATTTGGTCTTGTTGAGTCACACATCTGCATGATTATCAATTTTTACAGAATGGAAGTAAAAGTCAATTGTTTAAACAAAAAATACAGGTACTGCATTTGTATGAGAACTGCTAACATGCCAGTATTTCAAATATGAAAAAGGGAAGTCATGGCCTTAGAATTGATAGAAATGATGTTAGGAAGATGGCCTCAGTGTCATGTCTCATGTCACACTTTGATAATTCATGTATAAATGCAATTAGTTACTGTTTAGGTCTTAGTTATATCCACTATACCATAGTCCTGCACATATCGTGTAAAGACTGTTGCTTCTTTTATACCACCTTAGTGACTAGATCTTGACCTAAGAACCAACTTGAAATTTTAGAATGAATATGCATTTTACTCATCATTCCTGTCATATTAAAATATTAAACAATAAGCAATTATAAGTCTTTATTTCATCAGTTAAATCAGATAGTAGAAAATGTCCAGCAATATTGTTTCACAATACTCTATTGTGAGGGCAATTAGCACGCTTCATCAACATATCACTAATAATGAATCACCTTAATAGTAAGTAATAATGGTTTCTTTGTTTATATAACTAGCATTTATAATATCTAAAAAGCGTATTTTTCAGTGTATCAGACGAACAATTACTTTATAGAAAATGTTAATTTTATTCACACCAGTTTAGTCCTTAACCCATATAACTATTGAATTGTTCTTATCTTTCAGTTTTTTTTTATTTCCAATGGAATAAAACAAAAGTATGAGAGGGATTACCACTCTAACTAAAACACAGTGAAATGCATTATTGTGCTAATAATGGTTTACTTAAAGTGAAATATCTATGCCTGAAATGTTATAAGAAATGAAAGGTCAAGCATCTATATGACTTGATGAATGCATCATGCATTGAACATAATTCCATTTAACAAAAAAAAATCAATAAAAAAATCCCAAAGAACATAAGGGTCCAGCTTTCATTACCAAATAAGTCAAATAAGTGGATAGGTGCTTAATTACATATTATAAGATGTATGCAGATAGAATGTTTATATTGAGATTGGGAAATTCAAAACACTGTTCACCATATCTTTTGAGAGAGCTTCAGCTCCTAACACATCACACTATTATATACACCAGTTATCCATGGGTACAAGTTTGCAGTCATTTGCAATTTGCAATTCAGGTTTTTATAACTATTGAAAACATTACTTTAATAAATTTTCAATATAAATTCAAAAACCAATTTAAACAAATCTACTTAAGTTGCTTTCAGGTTTTTCATGTTTTCTGAAATTTGAAGATGCATTTATGGTAGGCTTGGAAATCCCATATAAATTCTATTAAATCAACCTCCACAATGCATTTACCATGGACTTTCTTTTGTCTATTTCAGTGACTGTTGACAGTGTTGCAGAAAAGGGTATGATGATTTTTTTTTATTGTTGAACATTTTTTGTCAGCCATTATAAATCTTGACACACTATGTTGCTGGGGCCACTTGCACAAAAAAGTGTCAAGAAAATGAATGAAACTCACTAAATGTGGTTTTTAAAATAAGCTCTATCAGTTTTATTTACCACAATCGACATGTGTATAGAAATTTTATTAGGGTAGACTAGGGGTGAAAAAATACATGTACTATTCAAAGAGCTGAATAGCCTTTTAATAGGGCCTAAATATGGAATCCCAAACCACACTTTACGTACAATTTAATCATGAATATTTATTGAAAGAAACAAATTGATGACACTGCACATGTCTGTGAGATATATAAAATATTCCACTCTACCTTTGGGACTTAATATAGGAAATTGTCTGAATGTAATTACAGCAGTTGCTTTTCTTATTTTCTATGTATTTCTGGCTCATTTCTTAATTTTAGAGTGTTACTTTCCTAGATTGTTATTCTCCTGGACCTTGATTGACTGAGGGTATGCTGTAATGAAGTTAACACCATGTTACATGTACCTCTTGACAATTCTACTTGTAGCAGTGTATATTTTGAACCATAGATGAATTACAATGAAGTATTGACAGAACTGATAATATAACATGATAATTATTGACAGTTCTTTGAAAAAAAAATTATCCGGTCAGTAATAATAATAAAATAATAAGAATAATAATGATATTAATAGTACTTAAGACTTAAAGTTAATACTTAGCCTGCTGACCACAACTAAATATACCCATGTGACCAGTGCTGACCATGACCAACTTGCTCTGTGCAATCATATCAAGGTCAGCACTGTTTTTCTATTCAGTCAGTATATATTTTGAAATTTTCCCAAATCATGATTGAAAGATTATCAAGTCAATTGAGATATTAAAGTGGCATTAATATGTCCACCCAAGGGTATATAGTGAGTGAATGGGTTAAAGTCAGAATACATTTTACCATAATTTCCTTACAATTTTATGATTTACTTCGCATGAAAGATAGATAACTCACATGGCTCAAGGGACTTTCTAAAAGTATTCATCAGAATTAACCTGTATAGTTCAATTTATAAAAAGAGTTGGCTGTCTTTTCATATTTTAAGCAGGTTTATAAATTTATCGGAAACAGTTTCCTATTATCAACTGTTGGTCAATCACCTGGTGCTAAGGTTAAAAAAGTGAAAATTGGCTCATGATAATGGTATAGTATCATAATTGTTGATGAAACATAATGATAACCAGTTACCTGTTTCATAAATTTCCTAATTATCACATTTTCATGTACATAGTGAAATATGATGATGAACTTCCAATAATTAGTAATAATGTGCAAATTATAGCTATTTACTATAGTGTAACATAAGGCCATTTGTTTGGACAGTTCCTAGAATTTTCAAAGGGTCATTTCTCCCTATCACAAGTGGCTGATAATTATATTGCCTCTATTTCCAATACAAAATAATCTCTTTTCCCCGAATTGAAAACATAAACTAAATTGTTTCAACTTCTGGGAAAAAAATGTTTGAAATAAGTAACAGGTTACAAATGTATATGACCATACACATTCTTAAAACTTAATAAAAATGTTAAATTATTTATAAAAAAATTCTCAAATTTCCCAAAATACTATGTTATTTGTCACAATTTAAGCCAGGGATCATTCCCCAAAATATCTAGAAAAGAAAACATTCCATATACATTCTGAATAAAAAGTTTTATTCATGTTTTCATTCATCAATTGTTTAAAATACCGGGTAGTCTTAAATTGAAGATGTCACATTATCTGCAAGTAGCATGAAGTGTTTTCTCTATATTTGAATATGCACAAGTTGTAATTAAATTTTATAGTAAAGTTCATCAATTAATATGCAATTATGCATCTGAATATTACTCAGTAAAGTTTTATAGAGATCATTACAGAATATGACAAAAAAGAGTGTTAAACATTTCCATCAGTTTTCAAGGTTATCCCAGAATTTACATGCTTCAAGAAGCCCTCTTTATCTTATAAATTTCTTAATACATTAAAATTCATAAGAAGTGCAGGGTTTAAGAATTTTTTTTAAATTTCTTATTATAAAATTCTGACATACATATATTTGAAATAGCCAATGTGATTAAACTTAAAATACTGTCATAAAACTGGCCTTGAAGCCATATTACCTAATAAATGTATAAACATATGATTGATTAATACATGGTGATCATCATGAGATCAGTGATCAGTTGTTTTTCTCTAATGCATTATTTGTTTGCTTCACTTTCAACCACATTTCCATACTTTTACTAGGAATTTCATTATCAAACTATTAAACTTGATTGGCCAACAGTATAGAGCCATAGAGCCATCTTGATAAGACTTTAACATGATGCAGGCTGGTTGCTCTCTTTTACGGAAAACATAATGAAATTTTATTATTATGGCTTGTGGATGCAAGTCCAGTACTGTTTTTAGTATTGATCCGATTTGCAAGCCAATGTCATTTTATTGTTGGGAGGTGATAAATATGTAATAAGTTCCATGTCTGCGTCATATACATATTGATGAAATGGACACTATTTTTGGTTGACAGAACTATTTTTGTAAGATAATAAAATTGTTTATACATGTACCATTGTTTGGTAAACAGGCTTTCTGATATTTTGCTATAAAACCTGCTGACTTGTAATCTGCTTGTAAAATGCATGGCAATAGAATGCATAGTGGTGATTTTACTGTAAAAATGTAAAGCTCTTTTAGAGCACTCTCTTTCTTTTGATTGGGAACTGACAGTCTTCAGCTATTAAAGGAAGTATGCAAAATTAACATATTGAAGGTTCCATGTTCACAAAATGAACACAAATCTGTGGATGATACAAATACTTTTTTGTACCATTTGAATGTTTGTCCTGTTTCAGTCATGGCTGGAGGATATGAATAGTAGCTTTCATAACAACTTTCATTCATGAATACCATTAATAAAAGTGATCATTTAATCATGTTTTCAATTTTGCTGTGGTTTAGTTAAGTTTATATAATGAATTTGTTTTAGTTAGATTGTGTAGGAAACTGTTAGCTTATTGAAACACTCTCGAATTAGTTCCTGGACCCACCCAGTACTCAGCAATGAGTGTAAAGTTTCTTGCTGAAGGAAACCTTGGCTTGCCCCTGATGGGGTTTAAACCACGCAGCTAGAAATCCTTAGATTACTAGTCCGATGTGCCATGCTGCCACACCTTAAACAGCTGTGGTTTGTAAACTTAAGGTTTTCAGTTTGAACTGTTGTTTCCCTAAATAAGCAACAAATCTATAATTTTATAAAGCTCATTAATTACATGTAGTTTATGATAAAATAATTGATAATTGTTGTATTAAATTTTGTTCTGTTACAGTTATATACTTGTTACTGTATCACCCGTTCTTACTGATGTTTGTCTGGTCTTATGGTAAAACAATATTCACACCTGTAGGAACTGTACCAAAAAGGGTAAGTTATAATTCCGGTAAATATATAATAAAAATATACAGATTTCTTTGTCAAGCTCTGAATGACAACAAACATTGCAATGTCAAAAAAGTTTTCAATGATGGTTGTTTGTCTGTTTTGTTTTTTTCCAATTTATGGAAAGAAATATGCCTTGTCTGAGAATAGGACCCTCAACCTCAGGATTACAAATGGGACATTTTGGTTTTGGATTTTTATGTGTTGTAAAACATGATTTTTTTTTGAAAATTTACTTTAAGACAGCAGTGGGGATATACATGTAGATGCCATTGATCAGAACATTTGAGGTTAAAGATATGATCAGATATCTAATGTAATATTGGAGATTTTCTGACTATTTGTACAATATTCACCATTTAAATAAAAAACTTGTATTACATTTTCAGTTTTATTTATCAAAACAAGATGCTGACAGGCTGATGAGGGAGAATAATGAAGAGGTTCAGAAGAATATTCTCATAGATTTTGCCAGAAATTCTAACTTACCTGTACAAAATAGAACCCATTCTGGAGGTAACTTTATGTCTTGATTTGTTAAAAACAGTTTGATACAAGGGGTCTGTATTTCATGCAAGAAAGCTATCCAGCAAGCGTACAGAAGGTCAGTGGTTCTACTTGGCTTAAATAATACACAGAGGAGATCCTGACGTTTTTCTCAAACAGTAAAAGCAGCAGGCACAAACAAATTATGTAAGTGTAACTATTGACATTGTGTATGACAAGACCCTCATATTTTTCTGGTCAGTCTCTCATTTTTAGGGCCTTGTCAGACTGCACATATTTTGCATCGTTGCCTCATTCTATACTGAAGGCATATCATTATGTCTGTGTTAGTATGGCTGGCAACACTGTGTAGTCTGTAAAGTGATATATATATATATATATATATATAAAAACAGATAATTCTCAGTTTTATGTATAAAAAAATCATGTTTAGAGAAGTTTTGTAGATATTAAATAAACTGTTTCTTTTGTTGTTCATTGTAAGATTGAAAAGTTTGTTGTATACTATGACATTTTACAAAAAATAGTCACTGGTATATGTGTTACTGATATAAGTATGTTTGCAGCACCAAGATATTGTGAGAAATGTAAATGTATAAAGCCAGATAGATGTCATCATTGTTCAGTCTGTGGTACATGTGTTTTAAAGATGGACCATCATTGTCCTTGGTATGTGTACTGGTTTCTTCTTGTTTTTTAATGAAAACAGCAAATATAGAAAAAATATCCCACATTTTGATGTTGATGTTATAAAGATTTTGGTCTGCTCAGACTGATAAAACTTGATTTAGATATTATGTTGAAACTTTCTGCCAATAGACCTATGTGAAAATTTTGAAAGAAATGTTAACATAAATTTTCTGGAACACTGTTACAAAAGATTAGCTAAGGTTGCAGCCTTTGTTTATCAATATTTCTAGTTTAGACACGTAACAGATCCAAGATCTTTGTACTTATATATTCTCATATAACATATTCTCATATAACAATCTTAGAGAATTTTAATATCAATATGTGCAGCTTAGTGCTTCCAATGGGTTCATATAACTTGCTCCCTCTGCTCTGAACTGACATGTAGTTGTTAAATTATTTTTTTGCATCTTTTTCAGGGTGAATAACTGTGTGGGATTTACAACATACAAATTCTTCGTGATGTTTTTGGGCTATGCTCTAGTTTACTGTATATATGTAGCTCTTACTTCATTGAAATATTTCATTGCATTTTGGACGGTAAGTTTAAACCCAGTGTATATTCTATCTGTATAATTATTCATCATTCACTATGTTTGTTTATATAGCCATGGAAATTAAATTAGAATTGTTAGGAAAGGTTATTGTTTGATTGATTACCAGTATAGTTAATTAAGTTAATCAATTTTTAGGAAGATATTAGATGATTTATTCAATTAAAACATTGGCACATCCACCATGTTGTTTAATAGTTTTGTATTAATTTAATAAAATGAGCCCTTATTCATCAGTTGTTACAGTCAAATTTAAGATAACATTTTACTATGACTGTTAAATTTTGTTTCACAGTTCAATGCCAGATTGATTAAAACTATTTATAGCATATAATGCTGAAATTCTTATTGAATAATTGTTGTTAAGATAAAATATTGTTTTCCTGGAATTTTGAAAATTGTGTAGATATTATGTGTTTCTGTGAATTTTATTTGTTTTTAGCCAATATGATAAGAGTGACTGTGTCATTATTATTTGATGACACTTATAATATGACTGATATGTCATAATGCTGTGAAAAATATGTTTTCATAATAAAAAAAATGGATGTTGAAAAGATTACAACTCCACTAAATGATGTAATTCAGCATATTTCCAGGAAAAAAAAAGATGCCTTTGCCTGTTTGTGTCTGAAATAATGTACAAAAGGGCACCCAAGGTCTTCCTGCAAAGCTGGAAAGTCACCATATGACCTAAATACTATGTTGGTGTGACAGTAAAACCAAACCCCCCAAACAAATATCTTTCATTGATACTACCCAGTTTAATGTCTAGATACTCTTATCATTTATCACTCAGCCATGCAGCTGTAGTGACTCTATCACAATATATTCCTGATTTAATTTACCCAAAATTTAATTTCATTTGCTAATTTAAGTATGTATAATATATAACTTTATTTTACAGAGTGGTGTTGGCCACAATATGGGAAAATTCCATATTCTATTCCTGTTTTTTGTATCGGTGATGTTTGCTATAAGTCTAATATCACTATTTGGATATCATTGTTATCTCACTGTAAAAAATCGTTCCACGCTAGGTAAGCTGATGTATTGTATATAAACTGCATGCTCTGTTTTGTTAGAAAGGGAGACAACTGTTTTATTTCTCAAAAGGGAGATAAGTTAATTTGTAAAGGAAGGTCTGTTTGGAAAGGTTAAGGAAGGTCTGATTGGAAACAAATTTTTTCTTGCTTTGTCTATTTTGGTTAGATACTTCTGTTTAGATTAAATGGTTATTATTATCCTTATCGAGTATATCCTCTTGAAATATTTTTCATGACCATAAATGGGGGGAAAGAGAGTTACAAAAAGTGCCAAACTGAATTTGAGTGCCATATTTGGTAAAATAGCTTTGCGGGATCTAAAATTGGTCCAGTCTAAAAGGAAGGGAAGAAATGCGGCAATTGTAGACTTAAATATACCGAGAAATCGTATTTGATTCATTGCAAGGAAGAGGACTGGTGCTTTGAAAACTTATCCTTTACTGTGAGAATAAAGTGGTTGTCTCCCTTCGATATTGGGCTTTTGTATTTCACTGTTTCTTATTTATTTATTGCAGAAAGGGATCAACCATAATATGGGGAGATTTCATGTTTTATTCCTGTTTTTTGTTGCTGTGATGTTTGGTATAAGTCTTATATCTCTTTTTGGCTACCATGTTTATCTTACAGTTAAAAATAGATCTACATTAGGTAATTGGTTTGATTTTATTTTTACTTATCAATACTGCAATATTGCTTTTGATTTTGGAATGATATCAGTTCATATTCTTTTATGTTTACCATTATGTATAAATTAGAAACTGTTCTTTAAATATATAGGCTCATATAATGGAAGCTGGTTTGTAAATAAGTTAACAATTAATTGGTAACTGTTTCTACTATAGTATATGGTCCTTTGTCTTGTAAAATGGGGACTAAGTATCACAATATGTATATAAATTCCCTATTTTTGTGTGAAAATTTTGGCCTATCAAAATTCAAAGAAAAAATATATATTATCAATATCAGAAAACTTATGTCCACATGAAAATGGTTGAGATTTCTGACACACAAAGTTTGTCAGTTTATGCTAAAGGGTAGCATGCTTCTATTTAAGCCTTCAATCCCTTCTGTGAAAGATTTAGATGGCTTTACATCAGACATTCGTTTCTGTAGCATTCTCTGTTTAACTTGATACTGTGGGCCTAGCAAATTACATTTGAAAAAAAAAAATTAACTGCGGTATTTTTGAAACAATAATTCTTGGAAAAGGAAAATAACTACTTGGCTATGCAAGTTGCATGTACATTTTTTGCATGTTGATATACAAGTGTTGTATTGGATTGTTATGGTTTATTTTGTTATGTTTTACAACTATTAAACATTGTTATGTATATTAATTTGTAAGAGACAGTTAATTGTTTTGGATGTCAAGATGTATCTTAATTTTTTGTGTTTTGTTATATGATTACATAAAACATCTTAATAGAAGTATTTTCTAAATCCTGAATAGACTTGGTGATTATAGGTCAAGTCCACAATGTTGAACCATTTTATTTGGTTTTCATTGCTCTCTAGGAATATCCAATATGCAGAATCAAGTCATCCGTGGCTGAGTGGTTAAGGTCGTTGACATCAAACCACTTGCATTTCAACTTTGTGGGTTTGAATCTTGACAGGGACTTTGTATTCTTTCACAGAGGAAAGGCACCTGAGGTCTTCCTCCATCAGTCAAAAGCTGGAACGTCGCCATATGACCTATACTCTGTTAATGTGACGTTAAACCCAATCAATGAAACAAACAAACATATGCAGAATTCTTGAGTCATTTTGTTAAGCTTGTATTTTTACATTTAGATGATTGTAAATTTTTAAAGGAAATATTTGTTTAAAATTCTATACTGTTGATGTTTTTCAGAATCTTTTAGATCACCTATATTTTCCTCTGGGCCAGACAAGAATGGTTTCAGTCTAGGAAAGTACAATAACTTTATAGAAATATTTGGGGAAAATAAGAAATTGTGGTTTATCCCAGTATTTACAAGGTAAGTTGGATCTTAGTTTTCCTGATTAGAAAATGTGTGGCTTTAAATTGACTTCAGTTTTCATTGAAATGCTCTCTGTAAACTGCAGTGGTTGACAAAAGTGCTGGCTTGAGGAGAATTTTTTACTGGCTATTTTTGTCAAAAAATGATAAATAGAAATGCTTTAGAACACATCAATAGTGTAGTAACACTGGCTACTCTCAAATTTCCTCTGGCTTCTTTACACAGTTTACAGAGAGCACTGTCATTTAATGAAAAATACCTTGTAGTGGTCAACACAGTCATGTTTGATTTAACTTTAATGCAGATTTCTGACAGTACTGATGCTAAAACTTGGTTTTGATTCTATCATGTGAGCATAATAAAGTTTGTCTGCGACTAATTTATTGTTGATTTTTAAAGTAATATGGTGTACAGTAGTTGTGAAAAAAAAAATTTGGAAAAAAGGTGATTTAAAATAAATAGTCATGATGTTAAATGAGGAAAACCTGACATGATTGGAAAATGGAAAAATGACATGGAAATCTTGTTAAATAAAATCACTTTGAGGTCTTTTTAAATCTTATAGTAGAATGAACCATTAAGGTAGACCATGGGTAATGGGCACCATAAGGAACTGTAAAATTGACAACATAGGACAGTTATATGTCTTCAAGGTCACCTGTATGCAAAATTTAAATAAAATTTACCGTGTGGTTTATGAGTTATGGATATATTTCTAAACTAAGACTTTGCCATTAGAAGGGCTTATTTTCAGAAATGAGGAAACTCTAAATAATCTGTAATATCATCATTATAAAAAATGTTTTTCTATTGCCCATTGTTAAGAAACAAATAATAACATTCAGGTAACAAATTACACAAGCAAAATGTTTGTTTCTAAACAAAATGTTCTTAATATGTATAAAAATGTTACCCTACCCCACCCACTTTAAACACTAATTTTACCATTTCCCTATCTAAAATGCCTTATTCAAAATATTCCTAAAATTTACCATAATGAGGGGCTGTTTTCAAAGTTTGCCTAAATTTTCTTAAAGGTATATTGGTTGATCATGCGAAATATAAAATACTTTTACCGTGTAGTTTTTATTTTATTAAACTTTGAAAATATCTGGTATCATATTTGCTATAAATTTTGGCATTATTTAGCAAATAAATACCTACAATAATTATATAATTTAAATCAAACCCTTTTTTCTTCCATAAGGGATCAGAGAGATACATAAATAATGTTAAAAAGAAAAAAAGAAAGAAAAAAAAGTTGCCCCTTCTGGGGTTTGAACCCACGCCCCTCAATTTCAATGTAGTTTGCAAGCGATTCTAGCCTATTTGAATACTCTTCAAAGTGGAGGTAATGCATTACCCATGGTCTACCTTAAGAAATGCAGTTTTTGTGTCGCCTTGAAAAGGTGACATATAGGGGTTACTTTTGTCGGCGGCGCCCTAAAGCTTGTCCGGAGCATAACTCAGTCACTATAAGTCTGATTGACTTCGAACTTGGTATGCATGCTTCTTTCAATAACCCGAAGTGCAGTGCACAAGAACCGGTACTCTGCACTTCCTAATTTTTGAGTTATTGCCCTTTGTTAATTTTCATACTTTATTTTTGTCCAGGCCATTTCTCCTTAAGTATAAAAGCTATGGACTTGAAACTTCATATGATGATAGATCTCATTAAGAAGAAGTGCAGTGCACAAGAATCGGTACTCTGCATTTCGTAATTTTTGGGTTATGGCCCTTTGTTAATTTTCATACTTAATTTTTGTCCAGGCCATTTCTCCAAAAGTATAAAAGTTATGGACTTGAAACTTCATAGGATGATAGATCTCATTAAGAAAAAGTGCAGTGCATAAGAACTGATACTCTGCATTTCTTATTTTTTGAGTTATTGCCCTTTGTTGATTTTCTTACTTTATTTTTGTCCTGGTCATTTCTCCTCAAGTATGAAAGCTATGGACTTGAAACATCATAGAATGATAGATCTTATTGATAAGAAGTGCAGTGCACAGAAACTGCTGCTCTGCACTTATTATTTTTTTAGTTATTGCCCTTTGTTATTTTTCATATTTCATTTTTGTCCTGGCCATTTCTCCTAAACTACATTGTTCACAAGGCGACACATCCGACTCGCGGAGTTCTAGTTATAGTAAATATACTTTAATAGTTTATAAGAAATGCAGTTTTGATAGTAAATATACTTAAATAATTTATAAGAAATGTAGTTTTTATAGTATAAATACTCAAATGATTGTTCAGACCTGCATGAAAATCCTCAAATGTAAATTTGGTATAAAGTAAATGAAACATATATCTCTCCTTAGCACAGTGATATCCTTATTATGTATTCACATTCTCCCTCCAACTTCCAAGTCTTTTGTTTTATACACTATAATACTGCATGTTTGTAACGAGGATTTTCATTGGATAATCATGACATTTATATTATTTATAATCTATGACTGCTGTCAGTTGATTGAATTTTACAGGCATAAAATTTTTCCTCAAAGAAAGGAATTAAGTATTTAAGATTTGTTATAAAGACTTTATAGGTTATATGGTCAGTTATAAATGGTTGTTTCCTATATAACCATCATTACCTGCTTGGGTCATATAAACATATAACCATTCATACTGGCACATATAACCTGATAAGAATCACAGCTGGAATATGTGAATACATTGACAGGGTATGTGACTCCAGCACTCCTACTCCCTCTCTATCATAGATCTATTCTTGTAGAATTTACATTCTTATAGGGTAATTTTGTATTTGTAGTTGCAAAATGAAGGAAAAATACATTAACCAAATTCAACAGATTTCTATATAACTACTGAAGGATGAAAGTTTAGATTCTTTCATCAGTAATTTTGTTAATCAATCTATCTGTCCGTGTTCACCGTAGGGAACGTGTTACAGTATCGCGTTTTTCGGTTACAGTATAGAATTTAAAAGATGGAGGGTTATTTGTTTGGGGGACAGGTAGGTGATTTTTATTCCGGTCCATACTACAAGTAGTTTTGTTTCTAAAAGATGTTTTTGTGCTTTGCTTGTAAGGAACAGAATCCTGTATCTAGTCATATATTTCTTCAGACTCTGCACCGCAGATTAATCTCTATATTGTCTCATAAATGTGCAGATTTGAAGGTTTGAAAATTTGAATCGAGAGACCAACGCATTTTTTTCCCATTCGACATTATTTAAGCATGCATAGATAAAGTAACCGAAAAACGCGATACTGTAACACGTTCCCTACATCTTTAGACAATGAGTCCTTTTTGAATCACATATGCTTGCCTACCATACTGAGATATTTTTTACCTTTGTATAGAGGTCATTGTCAATGTGACAAGGTCGGTATGAAGGAATGATCAAAGTTTTTGTGTCGCCTTGAAAAGGTGACATATAGGGGTTACTTTTGTCGGCGGCGGCGTCTGTGTCGGCGTCGTTGTCGGCGTCGTTGTCCCCTAAAGCTTGTCTGGAGCATAACTCAGTCACTATAAGTCTGATTGACTTCAAACCTCGTATGCATGCTTCTTTCAATAACCCGAATTGCAGTGCACAAGGACCGGTACTCTGCAGTTCTTATTTGTTGAGTTATTGCCCTTTGTTAATTTTCATACTTTATTTTTGTCCGAGCCATTTCTCCTAATGTATAAAAGCCATGGACTTGAAACTTCATAGGATGATAGGTCTCATTAAGAAGAAGTGCAGTGCACAAGAACAGGTACTCTGCATTTGTTATTTTTTGAGTTATTGCCCTTTGTTTATTTTCATACTTTAATTTTGTCCGGGCCATTTCTCCTTAAGTATAAAAGCTATGGACTTGAAACTTCATAGGATGATAGATCTCATTAAGAAGAAGTGCAGTGCACAAGAACCGGTACTCTGCACTTCCTTATTTTTGAGTTATTGCCCTTTGTTAATTTTCATACTTTATTTTTGTCCGGGCCATTTCTCCTAATGTATAAAAGCCAAGGACTTGAAACTTCATAGGATGATAGGTCTCATTAAGAAGAAGTGCAGTGCACAAGAACAGGTACTCTGCATTTTCCTAATTTTTGAGTTATTGCCCTTTGTTAATTTTCATACTTTAATTTTGTCCGGGCCATTTCTCCTAATGTATAAAAGCCATGGACTTGAAACTTCATAGGATGATAGGTCTCATTAAGAAGAAGTGCAGTGCACAAGAACAGGTACTCTGCATTTCTTATTTTTTGAGTTATTGCCCTTTGTTTATTTTCATACTTTAATTTTGTCCGGGCCATTTCTCCTTAAGTATAAAAGCTATGGACTTGAAACTTCATAGGATGATAGATCTCATTAAGAAGAAGTGCAGTGTACAAGAATCGGTACTCTGCATTTCTTAATTTTTGAGTTATGGCCCTTTGTTAATTTTCATACTTAATTTTTGTCCAGGCCATTTCTCCAAAAGTATTAAAGTTATGGACTTGAAACTTCATAGGAGGATAGATCTCATTAAGAAAAAGTGCAGTGCATAAGAACTGATACTCTGTATTTCTTGTTTTTGTGTCGCCTCTACGGAGTAGTGGCAACATATAGGGATCACTTCTCCGTCGTCTGTCCGTCCGTCTGTCTGTCTGTCCGTCCGTCACAAAACTTGTCCGGACTACTCCTCATAAACTACTGGTGCAATTTCATCCAAACTTTACAGGAATGATGAGTACCAAGTCTAGTTGTGCATGTTGTGCATGTTTTCCGGTTCAATGATTTTTGTCAGAGTTATGGCCCTTTAATAATTTTTAATTTTAAAGTTTGTCCGGACTACTTCTCTTATACCACTAATGCTATTTCAATGAAACTTTACAGGATTGTTCTCTAGCTCCTTGCGCATATTGCACGGGTTTTCCGGTTGAATTATTTTTGGCCGCGTTATGGCCCTTTGATAAAAAGGTTTCTTTTTCTGTGTGTTGCCAGATACACAAAAGCTTGTCCGGACTACTCCTCATAAACTACTGGTGCAATTTCATCCAAACTTTACAGGAATGATCAGTACCAAGTCTAGTTGTGCATATTGTCAGCATTTTGCGGTTCAATGATTTTTGTTTGAGTTATGGCCCTTTAATAGTTTTTATTTTTAAAGTTTGTCCGGACTACTTCTCTTATACCACTAATGCAATTTCAATGAAACTTTACAGGATTGATTTGTAGCTCAAGTCCTTGCGCATTTTGCACGGGTTTTCTTGTTGAATGATTTTTGGCCGAGTTATGATGGCCCTTTGATAAAAAGGTGTTTTTTTCTGTGTGTTGCCAGATACGCAAAAGCTTGTCCGGACTACTCCTCATAAACTACTGGTGCAATTTTATCCAAACTCTACAGGAATGATCAGTACCAAGTTTAGTTGTGCACTGTCCGTCTGTCACAAAATTTGTCCCAACATGAAATTGGCCATCATGAGGCGACACATGTGATTACTGATCGCTCTTGTTTGAGTTATTGCCCTTTGTTGATTTTCTTACTTTATTTTTGTCCTGGTCATTTCTCCACAAGTATGAAAGCTATGGACTTGAAACATCATAGAATGATAGATCTTATTGATAAGAAGTGCAGTGCACAGAAACTGCTGCTCTGCACTTATTATTTTTTTAGTTATTGCCCTTTGTTATTTTTCATATTTAATTTTTGTCCTGGCCATTTCTCCTAAACTACATTGTTCACAAGGCGACACATCCGACTCACGGAGTTCTAGTTTAAATTCAAAGGTGGACTACTGCTAGAAGACTTAAGGGAACAATAAGGCATAATGTTCCCCTTCATATAGTATTGAATTCCAAATCTCTTATAAAATTAAATGATGAAGGTCAAATGAAGGTCATAAGTTCAATAAGAGTTGATCTAAAAAAAATAGGACAGTTAGTAAAACTAAGCATCAATTTTCTTGTTTTTATTTTTTATCTGAAAATTTTGTTTACTATAACAACAAATGAGGACTATACCCCTTATATCAAAAAAATAAAAAGATATATTAAATGTGTAAAATTATTTTGTAACAAACTTAGAATTGCCAAAACAGAAATACACAAAATGATAAAGATAGTGGTAGTATTTGACATTGTTTTGGGTGTTACATGATAAAGATAGTGGTAGTATTTGACATTGTTTTGGGTGTTACAGTGATAGTGGTAGTATTTGACAATGTTTTGGGTGTTACATGATAAAGATAGTGGTAGTATTTGACAATGTTTTGGGTGTTACAGTGATAGTGGTAGTATTTGACATTGTTTTGGGTGTTACATGATAAAGATAGTGGTAGTATTTGACAATGTTTTGGGTGTTACAGTGATAGTGGTAGTATTTGACAATGTTTTGGGTGTTACAGTGAAGGAGATGGGGTGACTTTCCAAACACAAACCACAAGTACATCCAGCTCTTATCAAACAATGGGGACGACAAGTCCATCAACTATTCCAAGGTCAGGCCATCAAATTTAGTCTTTTGCTAGCTGTTACATTATGCATAACATTCTAACCAGATTTATCACCAGTAACATTACATAAATATGATGTTTTACAAACCAGGACTGATGAATAGGAACTCCCGCAAATTCACTAGAAAAAAATCAGGGACTTAATATGATACTTTGATTATTTGTAAAATTTTTTAGTAAAAATGATGACAAAATTTATTCAAGAAAACAAAATTTTTTAAGATTTAAAATTGAATGAAAAAATTATTATTATACTCGTATGTTTAATTTTCATATAAAACTATGTGTTGTAATCTATGTTTTGGTACATATATTGGTAAACCCCTCCAAAGTCTTCAACCCTTAACCTGCTAGAACCAGATGTGATGAGCCTTTGCCACCGGTATAGAGCCTTGTCAGACGGCATGGATGTCCAAGCCTGGCAAAATCTGAAATTTATTAACTTGTCCGTTTTTATGTGGGACAGCCCGGCCAATTCAAACAATTGATTCTGCCGCCCCCAGATGTTGTTTACCCAGTCTTTGTATTTTATTAATGAAATCCTTTCAACTTTGAATGGACTGTTGCAAATTAAAAGCAGGACCAGTCTGGGACAATCTTGTGTAAGAAATTTTTAGCAGGTTATGGGTTAATGGGGGTTTTTAAGGTCCCTGATTATTGAAAATTGATACTTTAGTCCTGTTTTGGCTCAAAAAGATGGTCAAAAAATATTTTCTGGTGTCTGAAAACTAAAAAAAACAAAAACAAAAATAATCAATATTTTAATTTTGTAATTAATTTTATATTCTTTTTCCAAAGTTTTTTTTACGCTGTTCACAATTCATGTTATTTGGAGCAATCAATGCATAAAAGAGGTACAGTAGTTACCATTAGGCACACTTCTTAAGATGATGTTTCAAAGACTAACCACAAGATGGTTCTATTTGAATCAGTTGTTTATATTTTGAATATAATTGCTTGTTTTCAGTGAATATTGTATAATTATAATCATAATTGTATTAGGAAAAGACAATATTCTTTGACCAGATTTATGCATGTTGTTACATCACTCACAATAAATGGCATAATTGGTGTTGTAAATGTCTGTGCATGCCTGGGTCGTTTTGTGTATACATATTTTACATATTTAGATGTGTAACTTTTAAGTCGATAAACATAAAGAATTTGATGCCCTGACTTTGAAAGATGTTGTATTTATCATGTATTATTAACACGCGTGTATTTTATAAACTTCTAATTTCTTTTTTTTTGTTGGTTGGTTTTGGAAATAAATATTTTCTATGTTGTAATTTTTTGTTTCATTGCTTTTCTATAACTGCATCTCTGAATGGATACTTGAAATAAATGAGCCGTGTCACGATAAAACCAACATAATGGGTTTGCGACCAGCATGGATCCAGACCAGCCTGCGCATCCACGCAGTCTGATCAGGATCCATGCTGTTCCCTTACATACTCTATAACAAGTAGAGAAACTGATAGCAAACAGCATGGATCCTGATCAGACTGCACGGATGCGCAGGCTGGTCTGGATCCATGCTGGTCGCAAACCCAATATGTTGGTTTTGTCGTGACAGGTAATACAATTATTTGGAAACAAGGGAACAATGGTTTTGGTAAATAAAGATGAAATATTTTTTGGAGAATTTGACATTTGATTTTATTATTTTCTTTGTAGGTAATAAAAGTAATTGTTAATATTGTCTTATAAAAATGGTTTATTATAATTTTTGTGTCAAATTATGAAATAATTTTCATTTTTTCCTAAAAAAAATAGAGTTTCTTTGCTGTATTGTGAATTTGTAATTAAGGATTTTTGACATTTGATATGGCCGTGAATAAATGATTGTTTGCAATTATAACCCTTGTCTAGCAGCTTTTAAAATTTTAGTCTGTAATACTGTAATAGGTCATATATATAGAGATCTGTCAAATTGGTTATTGGCTTCTGCAGAAAAAGGTGTCAAGTTTTGTTGTATTTTTTTCATGCTGGGGAGAAAAATGGTTGTGGCTTTACATGTAGTTTGCATGTTACTTAACAACTGTATTTTGCTATGGTTATAAATAATAGAATGAAGTAAGCTTAAATATACTATAAATAACACAAATATATTGTAGTTATTTATGTTATGCTAGTATATTACATGTATATTACATTTGTTTTATCAACAAATTTTGATTAGCAATATTTGTATATTATAATACAATAAGAAGCTTTATCAATAATTAACATAACCTAAGTTGTGTTTTCTTATTTCCCAGCAATACAAAATGATTTCAGAAGGCATATTAGTTATAGGCCCTTAACATCCATGTTTATTTCTCATTTCAACCTATTCCTAAGAAGACTGAATTATTCATTTGATGAAATTAGAGTTGTTTGTTTGAAACCATTATACATGTATGATAGGAAAAGTTGCTAGGTAGAAGACATTGTTTCCTTTAATAATTTTTCATTGATGAAGAGAAACTGGTATTATCTGGTGGGGAAAACAATGAAAAGAATGGTACATAATTATTCAATACTTCCCTAGTTATATTCAGGCAAACTGCCCAATCAGAAGTTCAATAAATGTCATTTTGTAAATTGCTGAAAACTTGATCTATACAGGGACGTGAATACAGTTTATAATAACAATTCATGATTTGAATAATTATGATTCTCTAAAACACTTACACAGTGAGAAAGGCTTCGTCTCTAGTAAAAGGGGTATATGTAATAATGCTTTGCCTGAAGAATATCTTTGTTAGACCAAAACCAGTAGGTTTCTGTAGAATTAAACATGTATTGGCAAGGGAAATGTTGTTTCATGATTGATTGTGTTGGTTTTATTTTATGTTATATGATTTTATATTTGTTACAGTTCAGGAGATGGCGTAGTATATCCAACACGAACAATAGATCTGGATAGTGACGGTTTATTGGCTGATAGACAACGGTGGATGGAGGAAGGTGACCTTGACAACCATATGGAAAATGGTAAATATAGATTTATAATGTCTACAAACACAAATCTCTGAAAGCTATTGTTAAGAACTTGCATATTCCAAATGTATTGACAAGTTGGCAGGTGTTTTTATGTACCCTGACTGGACTGTTATGTTATTGTTTTAATAATGAAATTCCTTGGAGTAGAATGTAGGTGTAGTGTATATTCTTTGATAAATGCAACTCCTTAAATAAACTTCCCCTCCCCGTTTATTTTTTTTTACATAGGAAAAGAAAATTGAATTGCTAAAATGATAGGAGTCATTTTAAGTCGAAGAAAATTTGTGCAAATTTTAACAAACTAGTATAATACTACATTATCCAGCAGAAAATATTAAAAACAATGAACATTCTTTTTATTTGGACAGTATTTAAAATATTTTAACTTATTTTTAACTCCCCAATTTTTATATGCCCGAAAGAATTTTGGGCATATTATGTTATACCCCCTGGCGTCTGTCCGTACGTCCGTTCGCCCATTAGCAATTTGGTTTCCGGAGCATAACTTAAGTTCCATTTGGCCCACAGTATTCAAACTTCATAGGATGATTGCCCATATTGGGTAGAAGACCCCTATTGATTTTGGGGTCACAAGGTCAAAGTCACTATAACTGTAAAACTGAAAATGGTTTCCGGAGCATAACTTAAATTTGGCCCACAATTTTCAAACTTCATAGGATGATTGCCCATATTGAGTAGAAGACCCCTATTGATTTTGGGGTCACAAGGTCAAAGGTCAAGGTCACTATTACCGTAAAACTGAAAATGGTTTCCGGAGCATAACTTAAGTTCCATTTGGCCCACAGTTTTCAAACTTCATAGGATGATTGTCCATATTGGGTAGTTCATATTGGGTAGAAGATCCCTATTGATTTTGGGGTCACAAGGTCAAAGGTCAAGGTCACTATTAGCTTAATACTGAAAATGGTTTCCGGAGCATAACTTAAGTTCCATTTGGCCCACAGTTTTCAAAGTCACAAGGTCAAAGATCAAGGTTACTATCACCTTTAAACTGGAAACAGTTTTCGCTCAATAATTCAAGCATTAATCAACCTACAGCTAAAGTACTTTCCGGCATATAATGCCCCACCTAGCGGTGCTCTTGTTTGGAACATTTAACGCTAAAGAAGCGTTTATATGAAAACATTTGGTATCAAAATTCAGTGTTTGGCATGTCCATCACACAAATGCAGGAGGGTGAAGGTTTCTGTGCAATTGCTTTTTTTCTAGCAGCAAAGTTTAACCATTTCTGTTAATTTGTTATTATATATTCTTCAAGACATATTTTATGCAGGTTTTATTTTCTGCGGTTTTTTATCAGCTTGCTTCAAAATTTAGATTATAGAATAAAGTAATAATCTATATGAGCCGCGTCAAGACAAAACCAACATAATGGGTTTGCGACCAGCATGGATCCAGACCAGCCTGTGCATCTGCGCAGTCTGATCAGGATCCATGCTTACCATCCCTATTACAAGTAGAGAAACTGATAGCGAACAGCATGGATCCTGATCAGACTGAGCGGATGGGCAGGCTGGTCTGGATCCATGCTGGTCACAAATGCATTACATTGGTTTTGTCGTGACGCGGCTCATATTTTCAAAAGTTATACATACATTGTATTATATTCTCTTCTGTTGCTTCAAGTTTAGCTTACAATATATATCATTTTGTGGTATAAATTACTGTAAAGATAAGCTTTCATTGGATTTTTGCTTATATTTAAGGTATTTTGTTTCAAGAATAACAAAAATGAAAAAAAAACAACAACAAAAAAGAAAAAGAAAACACATAAAAAAATACACAAAAAACAATGAAAAAAGCCAGATTGGCATCTGAGAATGAACTTGTAAAAGTGCTTAGGTCAAAAACAGACATGTTTTTTACTGTCAGTATATTATGTATATACACTGGCCAGTCTTTACTACTACACAGTCTGACAGATTTTATACTCTGTAATTTTAGATTTTCGATATTGAAACACCTTACAATAACAATGGACTCATCCAATTTCTAAGTTGGTTTAGTCCATTATACAAATTTAAGGGAGATGTAGAAAGTAGTTAGCACGCCCTCTAGAATCATTATGATAAAAACAATTATTTTTACTTTGTAGGAACAAACATGACATCTTCTAATCAGAATTTGATCACAACTCTACAGGAGTGATCTTTCTTTGTTTAAAACAAGGTTTCTATTAATATATTGTCAATGTATTTTTTTGTCCATCTGCATTATATTATATTTTCTGTCTACCCTCCTTTCAGTTTTGTAGATGCACATCCCTGCTTTAAAGATAGCTTTTATGTTACGATATTCAAATTGTTGGTATGAAAAATTTTATTTAGTAAAAAAAAAATAAAGTTTTTTTTCTGTGGAAGACAAAAAAAGAATTAGAATATTTTAGAATTGAAAAAAAAAATTGTAGTGATACAGTTGTGCAAATTATTTAATCTCAGTGGAAAGAATACAGGTTTTAATCTACAGCAAATTTTGGGCATGACAATTTTTTTTGCACAGTGAAATGTTATTTTGGCGTAGGATAATGTCACCAGTTTACCATTCCTTTATGTATATATACCATTTCTCAAGGCACCTTCACTAATCATAGATATTTCATGTGATGGAACCTTCCATTGTCGTTTATCCTTCAGGTCAATAATGTCAAAGTCACTGAGACTAATAATAGATTTTCCAAATTTTCCACATAGAAAGACCAAGTTTTTAACATTGCCAAATTGACAGTGGAAAATTTCAACAATGCTTTGTAGATCTTAATGGTGTGAGTGATAGGTTAAAATATGTAGATGTCTGTTAAAGGAAAAAATTAAATAATGTTCTGTTGATATGAAATTTTCAGTAATAGACATTAGACTGCAGGAATATAATAAAAGATATCACCAAACCTGCTTATCACTGAAAATATAACCAGTATCCATTTTTATAACCACTGTATACAGTATCTGCTATTAACCTTTTCCCTGCTGGTGGCAAATGAATCTACCTATGCTGACAGTGCACACCAGATCAGCCACCATTATGGCATATCTTTATGGTCTGATCATGGTTTGTTTGCGATTCAATCAAATACTTTGTTAAAACCCCCTCTGTTGTGCAGCAGGGAGTTTGCCTCAGAATGGGCAGCGCACCATTTAACGCTGTGTTGATCGTAAGAGGTGACTAAATGGGTTTGAATTACTGGAGTCTATGCATCTCTTACCTCCAGCAGATAATGTGATTTTGACTTCCGGTGTTGCTTTTCGGCGCCATATTATTTACATCATGTTAGTGGGCTGTAAAACCAAACAAAAAACTTGTAAATGGTTTGGTCTAGGTTGAATGATGGACAAGCCCATTTAAGATATTTAGTAGGGCAGTGGTTAAAATCCTCCTTAATAATTATTGCTGATCTTCTTTTCTTATTAAATCTTTTGTGTAGCTTTCCAAGTCATTTAAGGTGTGCTTTTATGAAAAATATTTTATTTGCTTATTTTATTTTCTTAGATTTTTGTCCTGTATAACTTTATTACTTTTATGTGGACACTATTTATTTTTCAGTGCTGTTTGCTTGCATGAAACTGCTATTTTTGAAAACTTTTGAATATACAAATATGTCCTCTGAAAAATTCATAAGTTGTTACATAAACAATCATATGTTATACAATGTATTAAATTAAAGTTGGTTCTCCATCAAATAATGCTACCATTTTCTACATGACACACTATTGGTTCCTTCCTTTATTAATTGTACTTGACCTGCTTTTTACCTCTCTATTGCCATATACAGTTCATTATTTCTTCCGTATCAGAATGATGTTTCAATCAGTTTTATCCATGCTGGAAATTTCAACTTATTAGATGAGTAAAGTTGCTTAAAAAAATGATGTCATTTCAGAACAAAACTTTGTTCATTGAATGACAGCATTTTGCTTTATATATGAAGCTGTAAATTCATACTCTACTGTAAGAAAATAGTAACAGATGAAATAACATTAATTGATTAATTTTTTGAAGTAAATTATTTAAAATATGATAGAATGTGCAAGAGAGAATATCTGACATGACCTAGCAGTTTTGATAGGAATATCTTTCTCTTTGGTAGCCGCCCATGAGTAGCTTTTTCGTAACAAAAATCTGGATAAAGTGCGATCAGTAAGAAACATTATTCACAACAAAATTACATGAAAATTGCAGACTCTGTTTGATTGAGTCTGTACATGGGGGATAATTATTTCTATAATCTGTTTCAGGATATGGATCATATAACAGACATGGTGACAATGTAAGACTAGAATATTAGAAATAGACTATAAAAAAAAATTTTCTCTGACAAAGATGGAAGGAGATTCGGCTTGATCCCAGAATTTCCAAGAAGTGATTTAGTAAAAACAGAGGATACCAGCTCAAGATTATACACCACTTCTTGAGACTGTAGTAATTGTTATACAGGGTACAAGTAAAAAAATTCTGGAACAGTACAGTCATGCTAGAAGAAAAGACAACAGTTCAAATGGATTGCAAAACAAAACGAAAAGAGTAGAAAAGTTTTATAATAAAACATATACACATGAATCATGCTTACGAGATATGTTGAAGAATCTCCAGTTTTAGATTTCCACTGTGTCTAACTGGTTGAGATTTCCACTGTGTCTAACTGGTTGCAATTATGACCAATAACAATAAAGAAATGCCGTTTTTTAAGCAAACACATTGAATTAATGCTGCTTTAGTTGTGTGATAATTTCTTATTTTACATATCCTGTTAAACACAGTGATTTTTTGATGCATTCACATCATGTCTTGAATCAAGATGTTTAAATTTGAACTTTTTTTCTGACACCACATACAAATTGACCCGTGCAAGAAGTGAAATAGATAATAAATCTAGTTTATAACATAATGAGCACATTTAATTTCTTTTAGGCTTAGGCACATAGATTTTCACACTTTCTTCAATTTTCAGAATTTTTAGATCTGTACTACTCTCTGTAATTTCATATGTAGAAAATCCTATACACATATGTTCAAATATGTAAATCAATATCGATATGCTTTACACAAGTTTTATGTACACATTTTGAAAAATATCAGTGTATGTACATATATATCAGGTTAATGTGTAAATGTGTTTGCATATGTGTAATAATGTTAAGTATTTTATAATGTGTTGTAAAAATGTTGATGCATTTCTTTAACCAAAGGTATTGTTTACAAGTGTTTTTTTTATGTTTTGTAAATAAAACTATACATATAAATATTGACATTGTGATATGTGCAAGTACAAATGCCAAAATATGTTTCAACATATTTTACATTTTCATGTGTATATAAACATTGTGTTTTCTGATACTATTTTTAGAACAATATCAACATTTTTATCAATCTAATGATTTAAGAAGTAAAACAAAGAAATAAATAAAAACATGTCATAGAAGTAAGAAATGTTATGTTAATCCATTGCCTGCTGGCAGCAACTTATTTAAACCATGTGACTTGTGCAGATCAAAATCGGCCAGCGCATTACTGTGTGATCTTGGTATGCACTGTTCTCTGTCCAGTCAATACATATTATGAGATTAACACTGAATTGATGAAATGGCACTGTCCAGATTGAATTATAGGATAAGATGGACAAGTCTATTAAGATAATAAGGGGAAAATGGGTTACCTAAGGCTATCAGTTTAATAGATGTTTAATCAAGTAGTAATCACATCATAAACTTGTATTGGATTTTTGTTGTTTGGTAGATTTTCCTTTATTTTCCTTTTTTTGTTTTTGTTTGGTTCTAGATTTGAATTTATTGCATTACATTACTTACACCAATTTTAATTTAGAAATTTAAATATTGTTTAGTATATAACTTAGGCCAATTTGATTTAGGAATTTAAATACTGTTCAGAATATGGTGAAGACAGTTTTAATTCATAACTTTATAGTTACAGTGTTGTATGTAAAATAAAAAGGCAAACAAAACCAGACATTATGTTAATATTTATGGACATATTTATACATATCTACTATTGTATTACATGCGTAAAACTCAAATAGTTAATACGTCTGCTCAACACATATTATATCAAATATATGCCATGCTAGTGTGTAAGAAAAAAAATGTACGACTACAAATGGTGAACTTGAAGTGTTTTATATTTCATGTTGACAACACATTATTTAGCCTTTTAAGTAGGGAACAGATTCATGTTCAGAATATACAGTGTAACTGGTAGCCATTTTGATGGTTGTTTGTTAGCAAATTCAGAGCTTATTTCAGAACATATCTTTATTGGTGGTCAAGCAACTTTCAGATAACTCTTATCCATAATTATCTCATAATACTTTGCCAAGATGAATTTGTGTAACCTACATGCCTTGCTTTGAATAAGGGTATGTCCATTTTTTTTTGGTAAGACAAGGCCAGTAATTCAAACATGAATTTTGACAGAATTATGGCCCATTTTGTACTTTAAAATTCTACATTATCCAGGCTCTTATTTTGCCATCAAGCACTTTGAATAGTCAAGCAGGCTCTCATGTTGATAAGAGGTGTTTCTCTATCAGAATTCTGAAGATAATCAGTGAGCAGTATGGAATGTGAGCAGTGCATACTAGCCTAACTACTCTGGTGGAACAGGCAGACCAGTATCTCTGCTTGCATCGGTAGGCTTCATGCACATACTGACAATGTTCATCTTTGTGTTATCTCGTCTTCTGTGACCAAGTTATCTGAAAGTAAGCTAAAAAGGTCGTAGAACCGATTTTGTCCATTTCAAATTGATTTGACCAATACTTTTAAATATCAGTCCTTATATTTCAGACGATTTTTAAAAATAATTATTTTTATACATTTCTAATTGGTTTGCATACTTGATTAACAAATTTAAAGGCAAAATAACCAAATGTAAGGCATTAACTTGGTATTTTACAACATTTTGAGTTTGTTTATGTACAGATGTATTTTGATTTTGTTTCGAATTTTATGAAGTTCCAAATAATACATACAGAGTGATTTATCATATTATATATTTGTAAGATATGTAAATATATTTATCATTTATTTATTATCAAAGCTATATGAGTGTGTGATTGTGATCTTAAAATTTTTAATGTTCAATGCTACAGCAAAATGTTTTCATGTATATCCCCCACCGCTTTGTTTCTTCATCCTTTTGTATGATTTTGTTTTCAAGATATTTTTGTATCTTTTGGTTTGAATTGTTTTCAATATATTTTTTGAGGAAATGAATTTATATAAGTCTTGGACTTTTCAAATTCTCTTCAGAATTTAGTTAAGTTATAAAGTCATTATCATTGTTTACCTCTTAATTTATATCTTCAGTCATACATGATTTTTGTTAAGCAATGTCTTCTGGTTGTAATGTACATCTATGTTTGATAATTTTAGAAATGAATATTGTTCAAACTTAGATATTTTTTATCATTCAGTTTGAATTGTTTTCAAGATATTTTACAGAGGATTGCAAATAATTGATTTTCTCTATCATAGGAGTTTCAACCATTAATATAAAACCCTAATTATGTAAGTCATTTAATTTATTTATCACATACATAATGGCGCAAGAGTGTACTAAAGCCATGTTATAAAAATGATGTGACATCATTTGGGCTATATATAAACATAGCATTAAAGCACACTAATGTTAGTGTGCGACTATGAAAAATGTCTCTTTTTAACTGTAAACTGTTGTTATTTTGAATATTAGATAAATAGAATATTAAAAATTTGTGTAGATTCAAAATTAAATTTATTGAACTCATTGAATAAAACAAGATTATGCTCGCAGAGGCTTGCATAATATAACTTTATTCAACTCATTCAATAAATTTAGTATTACACCTACACTCATTCAATATCCTTTATGTTTTTTACTGCAGGATAGGTGATATCAGCCTGTACAAAATATTATAGAACCAGTCAAAACTTTTATAACTTGAAAAACGAGTTTGTGAAATCAAAACAAATTAGGGTATCTAATAACATAAAATAGAGATTTTATTAAGGTGTAAGTTCAACATTTTAATCCAAATAGTTCTCTCTTTATTTTGTTGGTTTTTCTCTCCCTTTTTTGTATTGTGCATTATATCTGTGCATTGTATCAACATTTTGACAAAAAAAATATATATCCTGTTATAGTCTTGTCATATTGCCATTTTGAACAATAAAAATGTGTTATAAAATTTTGATATTTTGTTATTTATTAAACTTACTTGTCCCTATAAATTGGTTTGCCTTAAGTGTTAGCATTAATATTTTTTTTTCAATTTGGTAAAAATGATTTATTGGTCATTGGTTGTCCAGGCAACAACTTGTTTTGAGAAGGATTTTTTTTTTATCTTGGGCGGGAAATCTTTTCTTCAATTGGGCATCAACAACTTGTTTTGAGTTAGACATCTTTCCTCAACAACTTGTATTAAGTGGGACATCTTTCGTTAGGTGGGACATCTTTCCTCAACAACTTGTTTTGAGTTAGACATCTTTCCTCAACAACTTGTATTAAGTGGGACATCTTTCGTTAACAACTTGTATTAGGTGAGACATCTTTCCTCAACAACTTGTATTGAGTGGGACATCTGTTATCAACAACTTGTATTGAGTGGGACATCTTTTCTCTACAATTTGTTATGAGTCAAACATCTTTATTCAACAACTTGTATTGAGTATGACATCTTTTCTCAAAATGTTTTGAGTGAGACATCTTTTCTCAAATAATGTTTTGAGTGGAACATATTTTCTAAATAACTTGTATTGAGTGAGACATCTTTCCTTAACAACTTGTATTGAGTGGGACATCTTTTCTCAACAACTTGTATTGAGTGAGACATCTTTACTTTACAACTTGTATTGCGTTGGACATATTTTCTCAAGAACTTGTATTGAGTGGGACATCTGTTCTTAACAACATGTATTGAGTGGGACATCTGTTCTTAACAACATGTATTGAGTGGGACATCTGTTCTTAACAACATGTATTGAGTGGGACATCTGTTCTTAACAACATGTATTGAGTGGGACATCTGTTCTTAACAACATATATTGAGTGGGACATCTTTACTTAACAACATGTATTGAGTGGAACATCTTTCGTCAATAACTTGTGTTGTAATATTTTTTTATGCTCCATAACTATTTTTTTCATGTATCACTAATTTTTCCAGGACATCTTATCTGCAATTGTAGTTTCATTTTGATTAAACTTCATGAAATGAAGATGTTGAGTGATTTTTAGTTTAACTATTATATTTATATAATAGGAACAGCTTTCCTATGCTACTAATGTTCTCATTTGTAACTCAGTCTGCAAGAGCTTAGAATTTTGAAAACTGAATTTGACACCCTTGGTAAACGCTAAATGCTCCAGCTGATCCCAAACCTTAACATAACCATTGCACTGACCTGGCAGTAAAGCAACAGGTCTAAAAAACTCTGATTATTCCTTATATATCTCATTCAATCTCTTGAGGCTCCTGGGAAATGTTAACAATTAATGGATGAGTTCTTTTACCATCTAGCTTTAGCAGAAACTTGGTGGTTCTACTCATTAATGTAAGAATGGGCACTGCACACTGGGGTTTTCTTACACCAGTAAAGAAATGACTTAGAATGGGCACTGCAGACTGGGGTTTTCTTACACCAGTAAAGAAATGACTTAGAATGGGCACTGCAGACTGGGGTTTTCTTACACCAGTAAAGAAATGAATTAGAATGGGAACTGCACACTGGGGTTTTCTTACACCAGTCAAGAAGTGACTTAGAATGGGCACTGCACACTGGGGTTTTCTTACACCAGTAAAGAAATGACTTAGAATGGGCACTGCACACTGGGGTTTTCTTACACCAGTAAAGAAATGACTTAGAATGGGAACTGCACACTGGGGTTTTCTTACACCAGTAAAGAAATGACTTAGAATGGGCACTGCACACTGGGGTTTTCTTACACCAGTAAAGAAATGACTTAGAATGGGCACTGCACACTGGGGTTTTCTTACACCAGTAAAGAAGTGACTTAGAATGGGAACTGCAGACTGGGGTTTTCTTACACCAGTAAAGAAATGACTTAGAATGGGCACTGCAGACTGGGGTTTTCTTACACCAGTAAAGAAATGAATTAGAATGGGCACTGCACACTGGGGTTTTCTTACACCAGTAAAGAAATTAATTAGAATGGGCACTGCAGACTGGGGTTTTCTTACACCAGTAAAGAAATGACTTAGAATGGGCACTGCAGACTGGGGTTTTCTTACACCAGTAAAGAAATGACTTAGAATGGGAACTGCAGACTGGGTTTTCTTACACCAGTAAAGAAATTGACTTAGAATGGGCACTGCACACTGGGGTTTTCTTACACCAGTAAAGAAATGACTTAGAATGGGAACTGCAGACTGGGATTTTCTTACACCAGTAAAGAAATTACTTAGAATGGGCACTGCACACTGGGGTTTTCTTACACCAGTAAAGAAATGACTTAGAATGGGAACTGCAGACTGGGGTTTTCTTACACCAGTAAAGAAATGACTTAGAATGGGCACTGCAGACTGGGGTTTTCTTACACCAGTAAAGAAATGACTTAGAATGGGAACTGCAGACTGGGGTTTTCTTACACCAGTAAAGAAATGACTTAGAATGGGCACTGCAGACTGGGGTTTTCTTACACCAGTAAAGAAATGACTTAGAATGGGAACTGCAGACTGGGGTTTTCTTACACCAGTAAAGAAATGACTTAGAATGGGCACTGCACACTGGGTTTTCTTACAC